CTTTGTCCTCATAATTCTTTTCAGACAGGTAAGAAGGGTAGTAGAACAAGGTGAGATTTGTCTAAGCTACCCTGTTTAAACTGCCTTGTCTGTGTACATAGAAATCCTCTCAAATAAAGGCCCCGTGGTACAAATCTATACATAAAGTAATGACTCTACACTGGTTAACACCCCAGGGTATCTCTAAAAGTCTGAAAATGGTTAATTTTTTATCACTTTAAGCACAGACACGTCATTTAGAAAGCTTTAGGATAGGCCAGGTGTGGTGGCTCACGCCTGTAATACCAGCACTTTGGGAGGCTAAGGCAGGTGGATCACAAGGTAATGAGTTCGAGACCAGCCTGGCCAATATGGTGAAACCTCATCTCTACTAAAGCTACAAAAATTAGCTGGGTGTGGTGGTGCGTGCCTGTAGTCCCAGCTGCTCAGGAGGCTGAGGCAGGAGAATCGCTTGAACCCAGGAGACCAAGGTTGCAGTGAGCCAAGATGGTGTCACTGCACTCCAGCCTGGGTGACAGAGCAACACTCAGTCTCAAAAAAAAAAAAAAGAAAAGAAAAGAAAAGAAAGCTTTAGGATAGGAAAGTTGTCTTGAAACTCAACAATAAGGAAATCAACTCAAAACAGTTCAGAATTATGGGTCTCTGGATGGGCGCGGTGGCTAACACCTGTAATCCCAGCACTTTGAGAGGCCAAGCTGGGTGGATCACAAGGTCAGGAGTTCGAGACCAGCCAGACCAACATGGTGAAACCCTTTGTCTCTACTAAAAGCACAAAAATTAGCCAGGCATGGTGGTGTGCGCCTGTAATCCCAGCTACTTGGGAGGGTGAGGCAGGAGATTTGCTTGAACCTGGGAGGGGGGGCAGAAGTTGCACTCCAGCCTGGGCGACAGAGAGACTCCATCTAAAAAAAAAAAAGAATTATGGGTTTCAATTAGTGAGTATATAACTGAGAGTTGAGAAGACTCTACTCTCTGGCCCAGCGTTAGAAAGTTGATATTCTTAGGCCGGGCGCGGTGGCTCAAGCCTGTAATCCCAGCACTTTGGGAGGCCAAGACGGGCGGATCACGAGGTCAGGAGATCGAGACCATCCTGGCTAACACGGTGAAACCCCGTCTCTACTAAAAAATACAAAAAACTAGCCGGGCGAAGTGGCGGGCGCCTGTAGTCCCAGCTACTTGGGAGGCTGAGGCAGGAGAATGGCGTGAACCCGGGAGGCGGAGCTTGCAGTGAGCTGAGATCCGGCCACTGCACTCCAGCCTGGGTGACAGAGCATGACTCCGTCTCAAAAAAAAAAAAAAAAAAAAAGAAAGTTGATATTCTTTTTCTCTTAGGTAAAAACGGCGTCAGCCGATCTCTTCTTATCGGACATCAGTTAGTCTACATTTCTCTGCTTCTCCTTCAACTAGGTGTGGACAGGAGACTTTTTGCTGATTTTGTGTGAGAAGTGATATATACCATTTGCAGGTGTGGCCCATGAAAACCCCTCACGCTTCACTCTCCTCATTTCCATCCTGTCCCAATGGAATGCTGAAGGCCAGGGCAACCCTGAGAGCTGCATGAACACAGCAGAGCTGCTGGAAGCCCGGTTCCTCAATGAACTTGGAGAAGAGCCCCCCTACCCCATTCCCACCTGGCTGACTTGAACCCGCATTGGAATGTTAGTGAAGGAGAAAGAAAGTTTTATGGTGTTAAGCTACAGACATTTGGGGTTGGTTTGTTGCAGTAGTTAGACAACCTTAACCAGTACAGATCCTGGTACTGAAATGGGATGCTTACCACAAAAATCTGTTATAACACTGGTTTGGTGGTCAAGAAGGAAACTGATCTGGGAGGCTGGAAAAGTGGAGACCTATGTTATTCGGAGGGCAAAACATCTGGAAAAACTGCTTCCTGTGGCAACTTGGATGGTTGGCTATATTAACTACATAGCCTGAATCTCTGGCCTAAGAGAAGAGTTGAAAACTCAAGTCAGTGTGCTGTTACAAGCATTACAAGAACGACCTGGCTGGGTGTGGTGGTTCACGCCTACAATCCTAGCACCTTGGGAGGCCGAGGGGGAGGGTCACTTGAGGTCAGGAGTTTGAGACCAGCCTGGCCAACATGGTGAAACCCCCATCTCTATTAGACAAAACAACCCTAAACGTAGGAAAGAATTGGCTGGTTATAAGCAGAAATGAAAAAGAGTGAGTCAAAATACCTGGGACCTTGCGGGTTGTAAAAAATGAATTTCCTTCGAGATCCCAGATAAGAGCTAAGTTTGAAACAGGCTTTGAATACCAAGGCCCAGTAAGACTCAGCCCTGCAGCAAAAATCATCTGTTGGGGTTTTCCCATTCAAATATACTTCAGATGAAGTCAAGGCAGGTGTCTCTGAGAATGAACTAGAAGTGAGAAGCAAAATTAATCAGCCTTGAGAACTGTGTAGAGGCATGAATTGCTAGTGTGGTTACTGGCATGCAGAAATGGCTGCAAGTGAATAATCAGAAGTCTACCAAGTAAATTGTTTTCCCAAATTAACCACACACTCAGGTTTTAAAAGCCACTGACTCTTTTCCAAGGTTTTAGACAACCCTTGGGTCCTCAGACTTGCACCAAGCAGTAAGCTAGCTAGGAAGGTCGTGCCAACTCCCAAGAGCAGACTCAATGCCTACTCAGATGGGGCTATGGACAATGGACAAGGGAGTTCCTTCCAAACTAGGCAATCAGAATTTTTTTTTTTTTTTTTTTGAGGCGGGGTCTCGCTCTGTTGCCAGGCTGGAGCGCAATGGCGCAGTCTCGGCTCACTGCAACCTCCACCTCCTGGGTTCAAGTGAGTCTGATGCCTCAGCCTCCCAAGTAGCTGGGATTACAGGCATGCACCACCATGCCTGGCTAATTTTTTTTTTTTTTTTTGAGACGGAGTTTTGCTGTGTCGCCCAGGCTGGAGTGCAGCGGTGCGATCTCAGCTCACTGCAAGCTCCGCCTCTTGGGTCTACGCCATTCTCCTGCCTCAGCCTCCCGAGTAACTGGGACTACAGGCGCCCGCCACCATGCCTGGCTAATTTTTTGTATTTTTTTAGTAGAGACGGGGTTTCACCATGTTAGCCAGGATGGTCTCGATCTCCTGACCTCATGATCCGCCTGCCTCAGCCTCCCAAAGTGCTGGGATTACAGGCTTGAGCCACCACATCCGGCCCAATTTTTGTATTTTTAGTAGAGATGGGGTTTCACAATGTTGGCCAGGCTGGTCTTGAACTCCTGACCTTGTGATCCGCCCACCTCGGCCTCCCAAAGTGCTGGGATTACAGGCGTGAACCACTGTGCCTGGTCTAGAATTTTTAATGAACTCCTTCATAATGTCTGTTCAGCACGATTTTTGTTTGTTTTTGAGACGGAGTCTCGCTCTGTCACCAGGCTGGAGTGGAGGGCAGTGGCACGATCTCAGCTCACTGCAACCTCCGACTCCCAGGTTCAAGCAATTCTCCTGCCTCAGCCTCCCGAGTAGCTGGGATTACAGGCATGCTCCACCACCCTCAGCTAATTTTTCTATTTTTAGAAGAGACGGGGTTTTGCCATGTTGGCCAGGATGGTCTCGATCTCCTGACCTCGTGATCCGTCCATCTCAGCCTCCTAGTGCTGGGATTACAGGTGTGAGCCACCGCGCCCAGCCTGTTCAGCATGATTTTCTAATTGTTGGGGCCAGTGACAGCTCCATTTCCCATTTCCTTTTCCAACTGAGATTTGCTACTACAGTTATTCTATCCCAGCTCTATCACTGGGTATGGGGTAGAAACAGGTAACTTATCTCCAAGTTCAGAGTTTGCCAGACCTTAAGGGGCCACAACGAAGACGTGGAAGAAGACGCGGCATCAGGGGACTCTGGACGTTGAGGTCAATGGATTGCCTCGGTGGGATTTGGGGCCATCTCCTTTGGTAAAAAGGTATGTGTGGTCTCTGTGTAAGTCGACATTGGAGGACTGCTTAGCCAGCCAACTATCTGTACCCCTCATCTGCCTGGACATCTATTTCACAGCCCACCTTGCCTCTGGTATGGTCATGTGACTAGTTCCAGCCAGTGAGTGTGGGCAGAGAAGTCATGCACACCACTTCCAGGCCTGGTACATAAAACCTCTTTCCCTGGTGTACCAGCTGGATGCTGACGTCCAAGGCAATCTTGAAAACCACATGTTGAAAAAGGCAGAATCCTGGTAGCCTGGAACCTACATGGGGCAAAGCCCAAAGCACTTGACTTCTGCAAATTCCATGTAGCATCCGCAAATCCCTTAAGTGATATAGTGAATACCAGAATCACATCTCATTAGCATGTACTTTGTGCCAGGTATTCTAAGCACTTCATATGATTAACTCATTTAAGCCTCATAATCTCTGATGGTCCCCATTTAACAAGTGAGGAAACTCAAGCACAGAAAGGTTAGGTAACTTACCCAGTCATAGAAACCAGTAAGTGGCAACGCTCAAACCCAAGCAGACTTGCTCTATTCTTGGCCACCATACACTATTGCTATTGTTATAATTGAGACAGGGTCTTGCTGTTGCCCAGGCTGGAGTGCAGTGGCATGATCTCAGCTCACTGCAACCTCCGCTTTCCGGACTCAAGCAATCCTCTCACCTCAGCCTCCTGAGTAGTGGGGACCACAGGTGCATGCCACCACGTCCCGCTTTTTTTTAATAGAGATGGAGTTTTGCCATGGTGGCCAGGCTGGTCTTGAAGTGATCTGCCCATCTCAGCCTCCCAAAGTGCTGGGAATACAGGTGGGAGCCATCATGCCTGGCCCAAAATGCATACCTTTTACATCAGCAGGGAGCTGTCCTCCTGCAGTACTAATCTGGAAGTTATGTTAATGGCTCTGAGGCCCACTTCTTCTGGGGTTTGGGTACACGCCATAAATTACAATGTCTGGGTATACGCTATTTAAAGAGGTAGGGAGATAGAGACAAGGACACCACCTTGTCTAATTGAAGTGACCACCTCAATTTAAAAGAAATTGATCAAACAGAAGTCTTATGATAAAAACTTTATTGTCTTAAATATCAAATGTTTTACACACCACTTTTTCTTCAGAAAGTTCCTATTTAAAAAAAGAAAAATAAAATAAAGTGTTTTATTTAGGGCTGACTTACATTTCAGTATGTGACAAAAATTCAAACCCAAATGCATCTAGTTCACTCAGTTTCAGACAGGTCCTATGTTCAGCCCCTAAACGAATGGCACAATGCCACCAATTTTGGGATTCCTGAGTTTGGTTCCCTTAAAGTTCTCAGAGTTTTCCCAACTCTCAAAACCAAAGCATCATGGGAGTGACAGGGCCACCGGCAAGACTTTCTGCCAGTCAGCCTAGTTCTTCTTTTAAGATGCAGTAGTCTCAAAGCTTAAAGAAGTCAGAAAATCTTGCAAGATAAGAGTAACTGCAAGAACATATAAAGAAGGAAAAGAAAAGACGGGGTTTCTATTTGCTAAGATTTGCCAAACATGGCTACAAAACTGGTAAACAAACCTTTCTCGAGTGCAAAGTCCATTAGCCCAACTTGCCATGAAGATGAGATTTGGAATAAAAATGAACAAATCAATTTTTGTTGTAGATACAAAGCAAAAAAATAAAATTCAATCAATATATTGAATTTCTTTGAATTTATCACTAGAACTATTTCAAAAGGATGATCGGGGATAGAATGGAAATCTAGTCATTCAAATGGGAAGGTCTTGGATGGGTGGCATAAACTCAGAAAGCTGTGAAGATTGAGGAAAGGAAAAACAAGTCTGGTCAGCATCAGGTCATCTCAGACAGAAGGAATCAGGAAACAAATCTGCCTGCCTCTGGCAGGAAATACAGGTCTACCATTTTTAGGCCACAGACACATTCATTCAGGGTTGTGTGTAAAACTAACTCTTGTAAACAAAATTAACTTCCCATCAGAAATGCATGTTCCTAGGAAAAAAAAATACTGCAGCATGCCCTCCTTCCCAAATCAGCTAATGAAAACCTTCCTACAGAACATAAAGAAACCTAGTTCTGTATAAATTATAATAATTTTGTATTTCATGCCGCCACGGCCCCAATAATCCATAGCTGGCTTAACGTTTTTAGGTAAAAGAAACACTCTCTAACTCCCATGCCCTTGAACCGTTTTCTTAGCAGATTTCACTCCAGAAGACAGTGCCCTGAAACTTGTCAGCTGGATCCTTTCACGTTCTGCAGCCTCCAGAGGGTCTAGATTACCAATCATCAATACATAACGGATAAACTTTTGAGAACATTTTTTAACTGTAAACCTCAGGAGTCACTAGTTATGATCCAGAAATTCTACCTGTATGCTTCAGGATTACAACATATATGTGGCATTTATTTAACAGGTTAAAAAATGTGCCTTCGACGAAGCTGTCTTGTAGACAGGCCTGGTAGAGCCTCAAATGCTCCCGTCAATCCTGTCCACCAATCCCAGCCATTGCTGGTTACATGTTCTGCTCTAGATTCCCGTTTTCACAAGTTGCACCCAGCTGCTTTAAAATAGCACATCCTGCAGAACCCTCTGCTAAGTCGTGCTAGCCCAGATGGTCAGTGTTCCGGAGCAGCAGTGCTCACAAAGGGATGCGAGGATGCTGCTGCAGCATACTCCCATGTTTCTACCCTGCATGTGAGGCGGTCTGATGGATTGACTGACTGTCACTGGCGCATTTTTAGGGTCATCTTCCATTCATTTGTTGCACTTCTTTCCTGGCCACCCCCCTCTCCTCCAGCGTTGTAAATGGATTTCTCAATAACTGATCTCCTCAGGCATTTATACATGTTACATTTTTTTGTTGGTTTCTCTGATTCCATTTTTTAAAAAAGTTTTTTGTTTTTTTTTTTTTTGAGACGGAGTCTCACTCTTGCCCAGGCTAGAGTCCAGTGGCGTGATCTTGGCTCACTGCAACCTCCGCTTCCTGGGTTCAAGCGATTCTTCTGCCTCAGTTTCCTGAGTAGCTGGGACTACAGGCATGTGCCACCATGCCCAACTGATTTTTTATTTTTAGTAGAGATAAGATTTCACCATATTGGCCAGGCTGGTCTTGAACTCCTGACCTCATGATCCACCCACCTTGGCCTCCCAAAGTGCCGGGATTACAGGTGTGAGCCACCGTGCCTGGCCTAAAAAATGTGTATTTTTAAAGAGCTGTTTTAGACCCACAGCATCTGATTCCATTGTAAGCCTGATTTTCCCAGTCTGCTCTGAAGCAGAACCAAATAACTCTTTTAAAATAAATGCACGCTAACAGCAAAAATAGATGTTGCTTTTGAAGCTAAAATTTGTTTCACGTCTCCTTTCTAGACTGAAAGCTTCACAAGGGTAGGGTTCCAATCTGTTTTACTTACCCCTGAATCCCCAGAGTTCACCGGTGCCTCACACATAGGCACTCAATATTTGATGAATGAATCAAAGTAGCAAGGAATTCTTGTTCAAAGACTCATGTTGCATAGCCTTCAAAAGGAACCAATTTCCTTTCAAATATGTAAGATTTTCTTGAACTTTTCTCTCCCTTAACCAGCACAACACTGATAGTACAACAAAGAAACATCTAAAAACTGTTTTTGGTGATGCAAAAATCCCTATTATAATCCTAGCACTGTGGAAATCTAATGATCTGATGCAGGATAATTGTGAAATCAACTCAGTCAAGGTGAGCCTGAGGACCACTCTGTGTGCCCTCCATCTCCAGGAGAGCTATTTTCAAACTTCCCCTAATCTTCTCATTCCCCACCAAAATTTGATGCCTCTGCTATTCAGAGAAACTAAGGCACAAAAGAAAATCAAGCACATCGAAGGTTCACTCCTAAGTTCATTCAATGAACTCCTAGTAACACCTACCGAGGAACCACTAAGGTGTAAAACTTGAACCATTATTTTACATTTCCAGTTCTCAAGGACAGGCTTTGAATTTACTTTGTTAAGAGGAATTAGCAATTCAAGAAAAAAAAAAAAAGCTTTTATTTTCTGTACCTCCTAACACAAAAGGTAACATTCATCTTCTAGGAAGGGAAACTCTTGATAACTCTGTGTCTTTCTAGGTCAGCCACAGACTACACTAAGTCACCAAATCCAAAGGGGAAATTTGGGCTTTTTGGTATTTGTGCTAGAGAACAGTAGAATGTATAATCTGGCCAGCTTCTCTTGGGACACACTGCCAGTGATAACAGGTTTGAAATATGCAGCAGTTCAATCATCCTGCTTACCCTCACCACAGGTGGCAAACAGGTAGGAAAAGGCCACTGCAATGCCCTGCAGCTTTTCTGGCCGATGATTTGCAAGGCTGTTTGCTATATATATATATATTTATTTATATATGTGACAGGATAAAAGCCACCATAAGTGAAGAGTACGTCTGTAGATATAAAAATCCCTTGCTTTTAAATCTATATAAAATTAACTATATTTGTCAATCACCATATGTATATGCTAGCTTACATATATATATATATATATATAGACATGAGCTTGACAGTTAACCTAAATTTTTATGGCTTTCACTGGAGATAGAAAGCTGTAGTAAGACAACCAGCAAATTCCACATTAACTGGTTATCATAAAATCAGTGGCACAAAGCCTTGTATTCCATTTCTATGTACCCTCTTGCTAGAGACATGCTTTGGGAAAAACACACAGGGTTGTGTCTCCCTTTAGTGCATATGGAGACAGGGAGCTCTAGAAGATGTGGGTTGCAAGGCAGAAGAGTTTTAACACATGCACTCACCATCTCTCCAGCTTCCTTTGCCAAGCAACTGGTTATCTTTTTTTTTTGAGATGGAGTTTCGCTCCTGTTGCCCAGGCTGGAGGGCAAGCAATGGCGTGATCTCACTGCAACCTCCGCTTCCCAGGTTCAAGCGATTCTCCTGCCTCAGCCTCCTGAGTAGCTGGAATTACAGGCATGCACCACCACGCCCAGCTAATTTTTAAATTTTCAGTAGAGACGGAGTTTCACCATGTTGGCCAGGCCCGTCTCAGACTCCTGACCTCAGGTGATCCACCTGCCTTGGCCTCCCAAAGTGCTGGGATTACAGGCGTGAGCCGCCACGCCCAGCTGCAACTGGTTATCTTTATGTGTTAATAGCTGAAGCCCAAACTGTGGGATGAAGGCTACTGGCTGTCTGGAGCCCTGAACAGGTATGGAAATAATTCTTAACAGCATCAGTGACCAAAATCTATAACCTATGTAAAGCTGCTGTCTGGTTACTAAGCACATCTTTCTGCTCAGGAACCAACTTCAGGGAAATGGCACAAATTACACAGGAAAATCTCTCTTTGGTGAAGAAACAGAGACCACCCTTGCAGTAAGTGCTGACCGCAAAACTGCCCGCTACTTGTTACGGTAAAGGAGCTGTCCAGTAAAGGTGCCCATTACTGGTTATTACTGTTGGCAACCAGAATTCACAAGGATTTGATTGTATTCTTAGAAGTTAACCCATAATTTCTGCATTTTTGGAGCTCTTAATTGAATAAAAGCTGACAATGAAGGTCCGCTATTGTAATGCTCCTTAATATACCCTTTGCATTCTAGAGCTGCTACATTTAAGTCATCCAAAATATTAATAGTGTCAACAGCTTCGTTTTTTTTTTTTTTTTTTGGTGAGACACAGTCTCACTCTGCCACCCACGCTGGAGTGCAGTGGCGCAATCTCAGCTCACTGCAACCTCCATCTCCCAGGTTCAAGCAATTCTCCTGCCTCAGTCTCCCAAGTAGCTGGGATTACAGGCGTGTGCCACCACACCCAGCTAATTTTTTGTATTTTTAGTAGAGACGAGGTTTCACCGTGTTGGCCAAATAGCTTAATTTTTATAAAAATGATGGGCAAGATGATTTTTAAAATCAAAAGCAATTATACATTGGGCTTTACGTAGTCCCAGCTACTTAGAAGGATGAGGTGGAAGAATTGCTTGAGCCCCAGAGTTTGAGTCCAGCCTGGGCAACATGCAAGACACCATATCAAAAATAAAATGATGGAAGGGACAAGGATATTTGGCAAGTGGGTTAAGCTCATTCAAAGTATTCCTAACAGGAATTCATGTACAACTATAGATCTATTCCTAAAAATAAATATACATATACATACACAAAAAGCTATCCTAATGAAATCTTTCCCCGACTGATATTACATATTCCACCTGGAACTGTTTCCCAAATCTCCAAGGTTCGTCCTGCTTATACGGAAGGTCCTTTAGGAGGGAGTCTATTGTCATCATTAAGTTACCCGACCCTTCCCACCCCGTGGTTCCAAAGATTTATAAGCTTAGAATACATTCCCAAACCACCACCCATAAAGCAAATACAGGGTCCCATTGCATTGCTACTATATTTTGCATCAATCATAGCACCAACTATTTAATTACAATCACAGCTTTAAGTCAGTTGACAGAAATCCTATGAGCAGTTTCCTAGTGCATCGTACATCTTTGGTGTAGGGCAGGCGAAAGGGTCTACAATGTGCGGCTGTCTAAAAGAACATCTTAAAGACGGCCCAGCTGACCTGCTGTTCTTAGCGCCCTCTGAAAAGCAGTAAACTACAACTCCTTCTGTCAACCATTGCCTAACTACATAAAGGATCATGATGAATCTACGTGACTTGCCATCCCGTCACTAAGGTCTTGTAACATACATACAAACATCATAGCAAAAGGAAAGAAAGAAGTTGGATGGGGTAGAAAAAAAGGTCTCTAAGTGCCCCTAAATTAAAATTTCAAAAACTCCTGAGATATGAGCCTCCATTTTGATTGTGCTCAATGACTTAAAATTTGATGAAACGAACAAGCTTACAAAGAGTCAGACTTCAGACAACATCATTTAACACTAAGTTGAGAAATCACTCTTTCGAAGCGTCTGTTTCAAACATGTTACAAACTATAATCTAGAATCAGAAATTATGAATCTCAAAATTCTTTTCAATAAAACCAAGATTTCAGATTCCTGCTAGGTACCCAAGAGAGCAGTCTGCCAGGAAAGAATGATCTAAAACCTATCCAGTAGGGTTATTGCACAGTGGGGCCCACAGGACGATGGTTTCCAAGGGCTAGTCCTTATATAAAAAAAGGCCACAATAAATACATCTATATATTATGCCCCACTCTAACTTGACATGGTAAACACAAATATGATGAATTTTGCTTAAAAAAGAAACTCCTGAGGAAAGAAAAAGATGGAAAACTCTACCAAGGCCACTTAAGTCAGAAACTGTAATTACTATTACCACTGCCACAAAGGACACTCTCCAAATAGACTGACCATTCCAAGCACCAAGATTAACTAGTGACAAGGTTACCACACTTCAGTATCTCACTCAGATTACAGCTCGCACTGAGCGTTTAAAGAACTTCCTGGCAGAAGATGAGTCTAGAAAGGAAATAAGCTGCTGGCAATCAATCCATTCCTGAACTTAAGTCCATCATTAGTCATTAAGGGTTGAGGTGTTATCAGTGAGATGCTAGCAAACCCAAACTCTAGCAAATTCCAGTGTTTAGGCTATTATTTTTCCCTCACAGTTCTTGACATCTGCAAATGGAATTATGGTTGTTCTGTTCTTTTAAAAATCTGGATAGCACCATGTTTCACTCTCGTTGTAACTGCCCCACAATATGCCATCCAACGTAATAAGGATTCATGGCAATCCATGCAGCAGCCTGCGATGCACAAAGGAGCCCAAGATTTAAACCCTCCTGCTCACCCTATTAAAATGTCAAATCCTAAGCACACAAATAAAAACATACCACTCTACAATAAGGTATTCAATTATTCTCCAATTTCCTGTTATAATTAATGATTCATGATACACAGAGCGCTGGGTAGAATTCCAAACACCAAACTATGTGGTCAAAAGTTTCTAAATTGACAACTGAGCCAGCAAGCCACACCTTGCCATCAGCACAGACACACACAGTATGGAGAGTTAATCTGTTTTTAGCTGGATGGGTAGTGGGATTTCTCATGGCTTTTGCTTTTCAAAGCATTTACTCTCATTCTAAAACAGTATGCTATACACAAAACCATCCATTTTATTCCAGGATACATCTTAATGAGAATAAAAAGCTTTCGTATGCACATACTGCCAATACATTTAAAAAGGCCTAAATTTTAACAAGTAGGATAGACAAATTCATCGGACAAGAGATCATAAATTACTTTGGCCGAAAAAAATCTTTAAAAAAAATCTGGCTCAACATTCTGCTTGCAGGTCTCTACATATACTGTATATGTGGTGAGTGTGTGTGTGTGTGTGTATAGAGAGAGAGCTTTCTTTTGTTTAAAGGGAATGGACAACAGTCTAGCCCACTTTCCCATAGTCATGTAGGAACTACGATGTTTTTTGCGAGCAAAACAAGAAGTGCAAGGTCTGCATTCCCACCAACTCGATGCAGAGCTCCAAGAGCTTCCTGCAAAGTAAAGCCAGCACGGAGAATCCGGTCAATATCTGCAGCAGGAAAAATCAATGGTGGAAGAATGGCAGGACTTGATGATGGATGGCTGGTAGGTGGTTCATATTCAAGTAACAGCCTCGAAGCTTCAGGACAGACATTTTCTGTGGTTTCAGGCCTGTCTGTTACTGAATTCTGTATGCCCTGACCTAAGTCTTTAACCAATATGAAATTGGATGACAAAGACTTAGTTTGCTCAGAAGTCTGATTGAGTGCATCCTCCTCACCTGCTAAAAGTTTGGGTGAAATTTCTACACCTAAGGTGCAGTGTAACTGATTAGATGTTTTAGCTGAGGTTACAGTGACAGAACTGTTCTTGTTTATGGATTCCCTCGATTTGGGGACACCTTCCTCATCAGTTGACAGACCATCACCTAGACTCCTGAAGTTTCCACTTTCTACAGCTTCTATTCCAGTGTCAGATGAAGTAACTGTTAATTTTTCTGTCTTCATTGATACAGATACGGTCTGATGAAAGGAGACTTGTGGACACTGTTCAGTCCCGGTAAGATGCTCATTTTGGGTCCATCTTTCAGAAAGGTCTTTAATACTGGTTTGGCCCTCAGCTATGGTTTCTGATTGACAGATTACTTCTTCAGATGTATTTTCTGAAGCTGGTTTACTGCTAACAACCAAAAGTTCATGAAGTTCTTTCAAGGCGGCCGCTATAGATGAACAAGATTCTTCTGCTGACTCCACAGAGGGCTGACAACTGCCACAGAGACTTGGAGAGGAGGAGCAATGGCCATATTCTTTATTTGTTCCAGATATTTCAACATTAGTTTCTGGGGACTGTAAATCCTGAGTGGAAATGGAATCATTCAAAATTTCAGATGAAGGGTTACATTTTGATGTTTCTACTTCCATCAAGGGATTATCTAAAGTGAGATCCAATGCACCAATGTTCTTGACATTGGCATTCTGCCTGCCTGTTGAATTAAGCACAGTAACTAGGGACTGTTCAGCTATATCTATTTCCATAAGTGTTTCTGAATTTGAGCAGCCACTGCATCCTGAAGGTGGAATACTTTTCTTCGTACTCGGAAGATCCACATTCTGTGGGAGCCCATTTCCTTTCATCGTAGCTTCCAAATCAACAATTTTGTGTTGATTCTGTTGCCTTTCTTCAGGAAGCTCAAGGTCCCCTATGTTACAAAGATATTCTTGGTCATGTGAAGCTTTTTGTTGTGCAACCTCATACTGTTCATTCCCTGCTTGTTCGTGCTGCTGAGGGTCACTCACTTGACTCAGGTTATGATTTTCTGGATGCCAATCCTTTTCACCTAGAAACATCTGTGGTTCATGCATCCTAGTAGATGTGACAGATAAACTAGCTTCCTGTCTTGTATGGAGATGAAATTTGAGGCCCTGGGTGCTTCTTTCAGCAGATTTCTCCAGATTACCTGCAACAGTTGTTTCTTCGGATGAATTCTGCATAGGTATAGCTGGACTCTGGTCTGTTGGAGCATGGTCTGCTGAGGAAGCATGATCGGAAAGATCTTGTAAAGAAAGATGTTCTTTCTTTTTAGAGTTTATCTGGAATTCAGCTGAAGCCTTCAAAGCCTTCACAGCTTTAGGTTCAATGCTATCTGGGTCACTGGGCTTGATAGGGCAGACTGAAGCAGAGACAGAGCGAGCAAGACTCATAGGATTACCAGTATCAGGACTCTGTCCTAAAGAATGGGCTGGATGGTTAAACCCATCTGAAGTTGGTAATGATGACATTCCCAGTGAGGTAGATTCTTTACCGCTTTTCTCTATATGGAACACAGGGGAAAGGAAAAATATTAATTAGCAGGTAACTAACGCCACTAAATTACCAGAGGATACAAATCTAAATAGGGCAGAATAAAATAAGGTCCTCAAACTCGAGTTTCTCTTATACAAATAGAAATGATTTTAAAATTACTTTCTCATTGTGGTAGACAATCACAACATCAGAATAAGAGGTAGATGTGTTCTTAATAAAATATGCACACTGTAATTCAATGTGATTAAGTACCATTAACATGCATTCACAAAATGGCGGGGTTAGTGCTCAGGACTGAAGGACATTTATGTTTCTTTATTCCCTAGTCTAGTCTACAACTCTAGAATAGTTTCTCCAAGTGTATTTTTTTCATCACTTGCCCTAAAACTACCAGGGATGCTTGTGATGTATGCAGACACTGGGGTACCATACTTGAGAGTAAATCCAGGAATGTGCATTTTCTTTTTTTTTTTTTCTTTTTTTTGAGACGGAGTCTCGCTCTGTCGCCCGGGCTGGAGTGCAGTGGCCGGATCTCAGCTCACTGCAAGCTCCGCCTCCCGGGTTTACGCCATTCTCCTGCCTCAGCCTCCCGAACAGCTGGGACTACAGGCGCCCGCCACCTCGCCCGGCTAGTTTTTTGTATTTTTTTTAGTAGAGACGGGGTTTCACCGTGTTAGCCAGGATGGTCTCGATCTCCTGACCTCGTGATCCGCCCGCCTCGGCCTCCCAGAGTGCTGGGATTACAGGCTTGAGCCACCGCGCCCGGCCTGGAATGTGCATTTTCAATAAGCTCCTTGGGTGATTCTTAAGCTCCTTGGGTGATTCTTAAGGATATTACAAATCGTGAGAATCTTTGCACCAGAATGATTCTCATGCTAATGCACTTTTTTGAAAGTTTCAATTGTGAACACTGAGGTTACAAATGAGAAGTCTAAAACCAGGTATACCTGGACAGAGAGGGAATTATAAAGAGAAATAAGAAATAACATAATGATTGGGGACACAGAAGCAAACGTTCTATTTTATTTCTAGCCAAGCTTTCCAAAAATCATGGTAAAACTGGGTGAGCATCTGACTCAGAGTACAAAAGTAAACGAATGATCAGCAGATTAAATCACAATCATCATCCTACCAAATAATACAACTTTAAAGGCTTGTAAATTTTTATCACATTAATAGTGTGCAACTAAGTTAAGAATACTTAAGTATTTTAAAGAAAGGGGAATGTGGAGGGAGATGGTTCATTAATAGTTTTTCAATTGGCAATGACTATTTAAATTCATTGCTACTTAATGGCCACCAAAACAAGATGGCAGTCTAAAACACTAGCTCAGTGTAAGCATCATAATGATATCATTAAACATCAGTTCCAGCTCTTCTTTTGCCACTGATTCAGTTAAAAATTGACCTCTATGCACGTAAGATTTTTTTTTTTTTTGAGACGGAGTTTCGCTCTTGTTGCCCAGGCAGAAGTGCAATGGTGCCATCTCAGCTCACTGCAACCTCCGGTTCAAGCAATTCTCCTGCCTCAGCCTCCCTTACACGTATGCGCCACACGCCTAATTTTGTATTTTTAGTAGAGACAAGGTTTCTCCATGTTGGTCAGCGTGGTCTCGAACTCCTGACCTCAGGTGATCCGCTTGCCTCGGCCTCCCAAAGTGCTGGGATTACAGGCAAGAGCCGCTGCGCCCGACCATTGTAAGATCTTTAATTAAAAATCAAAAAGGGCAGGGCGCAGTGGCTCATGCCTGTAATCCCAGAACTTTGGGAGGCCGAGGCAGGTGGATCACCTGAGGTCAGGAGTTCGAAAACAGCCTGGCCAACATGGTGAAACCTCATCTCTACTAAAAATACAAAAATTAGCTGGGTGTGGTGGCGGGTGCCTGTAATCCCAGCTACTCGGGAGGCTGAGGCAGAAGAATTGCTTGAACCCAGGAGGGAGAGGTTGCAGTGAGCCAAGATTGCGCCACTGCACTCCAGTCTGGATGAAAGAATGAAACTCGGTCAAATAATAATAATAATAATAATAATAATAATAAATAAAAATCAAAAGGCCAGTAACAAAATGACTTCAAAATACAATTATTAGGGCAGATGCAACTCAAATGCTCAGTACTAAATGTTAACATCCAACAAGGGGGCTTGATCTTAAAAAGAAGCAAAGCAGTTATATTCAAATGGCTTTAAATCATTCTAATAAACTACTGGCTAACAGCACGAGAAGACAAAGCACTGTTTCAGGAAGCTATTGACTTCCCATGAAACCACCTTACCTTACTTATACTTTAGGGGTAAAAAGGAAAACTGCGCTTATCTCAGTTTAGGCTATACCCATTAGAGTCTAGAAACACAGTTATTAGTTTTTTTATTTTCATCCCACCAGATGTCTAACAGTTATTAATTTTATTTATAAATTCCTAAGGCTGACTCTGGAAGAGGCTGAATTTTGAACTAATGTTAACAAAAACAATGCATTGTAGTGAAATATCCATGTAAGCAACATAAAGAGGTATGGTAAGGGCCTTCTGGTATTTGTGTGTTAGTTATAAACAAGTGAGGTCAAGGTGAACACACCCTCAATTAATTTTGTACTAAAAAAGTTGCATATAATCCTCCCGTAGCTGAGAAGGTCAGTTTCACTAGCCTAAGTCCTAAATGAAGCAGAGGACCAGGTCAGTTTACAGAATGATAGGAAAAGAGGATGAGGACAGTGGATATCAAGAATAATTAAACGATGCCTGCTTTTAACCTATCCTTACAAGAAAAAGAAAAAGGAAAGAAAGAAGAGAAACTAAATGCTATGTATCTAATTCCAACCAGCCTGCAAACTCCTACAAAGTCTTACGATGATGGCTTAAAAGACCATCTTTCCTCCTCTTAGTAAGTCAGTCAATGTACTCGAGCTGATGTTTACCATATTTACATCAGAGGAAATGAAAGCAGAGTGCTTCCTGAAAATCTGTCAGGCCAGGGACAGAAGGAAAAGCAAAGCCTTAACTCCTGTTGTTGTTCACAGAGTCACCCTTGACAAGTCCCCTGGCCTAAGTTTCCATTTCTTCTTTAACAAAATTTAAATTTCTAACCCTCCATAACTCCAGGTAGTTGTGTGCAGTAATGTAAAAAAATAACTTTCAGTTTTTCAGAGGAAAGGGACTTATGAAACCCATAAAAGCATAGTTATCTCCAACAACAAAGTGTTGTGATGCCAATATTCTTGACGTGATATTTATAGTAGCCAAGATGGGGTAGGTATAATAGACACTGTTTTTACTGGGATTTTCTCCCTCTCGCATGGTTCTAATAACGAATACATTTCTCAACAGGAATTTATGTTACATATGCATGTATGCATACCAAAATACAAATGCATATAGGCTAGTTGTAACCAGACTGAACAAGGTGAAATGCTGAATGACAAATGCTAACTTCCCAAACTGCTGCAGATACAGACTTTCAGATCACAGATGACAACTGGATGGAAGGCTTAACAAGGTGTCTATAAATACCTGGTCTGGGGCCCACTCCAGCTGCAGTACACACACACTACATGCATCATGGCTTCTGACGCTCTGTGTGAATTAGGAAACAGACAAGCAAACTTGGGTTAACAATGCAAACCACACAGCATGCAGGGTTATAGTCTCCGTTCTTTTGTCATCTTTAAAATCAGGAACTGGTAGATTCAAAGTTGGGGGATGTTTCTGTAGTTTGGACATCCAAAATATTTGCTGGTTGCTTTCATTCTCTCACAATACACACAGCAATTTGTTAATTTCAACAGATTTTTAATAGATCTTGTAAAGAAATTAATTTTATGTTTCTACACATAGAGAATTCATGGGCAAATGTGAGACAGGTGAAGAAAGCAGATACATCCGATGGAATTAGGTGATAAAAAAAACTTCTTATGGAGTAAAGTTGAGTGAATGTATCTAACAGTCCCTTTCCAAATTTCTTTCTCAGTTGAGATTCAATTTTAGAGGAAAACAAACCACCTAATTAAATTCTATCCTAGCTTATCTTCTTTATTTTTTCATCGGTATTTAAATAATACATCAGGCTGAGCACAGTGACTCTGGCCTGCAATCCCAACACTTTGAGAGGTCCAGGAGGATCACTTGAGGTCAGGAGTTCAAAACCAGCTGGGGCAACATAGTGAAACCTCATCCCTACTATTAAAAACATGTTTTTGTGTTTTTTTTAACATTTTAATATAGAGTTTATATAAAGTTTTTAAAAAATAAGCTTTTTTTGTTTGTTTTTTGTTTGTTTTTGTTGAGACAGAGTCTCACTGTTGCCTAGGCTGGAGTGCAGTGGTGCAACCACAACTCACTGTAGCCTTGACCTCCCCAGGATCAGGAGATCTTCCCACCTCACCCTCCCGAGCAAGCTGGACCACAGGTGCACGCCACCATGCCTGGCTAATTTTTTTTTTTTTTTTTGGAGAAGGAGTCTCATTCTGTCACCCAGGCTGGAGTAGAGTGGTGCGATCTTGGCCCACTGCAACCTCTGCATCCCGGGTTCAAGCAATTCTCCTGCCTCAGCCTCCAGAGTAGCTGGGATTACAGGTGCCCACACCATGCCTGGCTAATTTTTGTAGTTTTAGTAGAGATGAGGTTTCATCTCTACTAAACCTCATGAAACCTCATCTCTACTAAAATACTTTCACCTACTATTTTACAAAATACTTTCACCTACTATGTCTAGAGTATTTATTCGGATGATATTAGGAAGTCAATGTTCTAAATAAAAAGGACCTGATATCTAGACTTATTTCATTACTTAAATATTACAAAAATTAGCACAAGCCATACTACCAGCAACAAAAGGTTATTTAAGTAAAAAGCCATTTTCTTTTAATTCTTTAAAGTTGGTACATCCCCTTCACTAAGCCTGGAAACATAAGTGTATCTGTTTTAATCTTCCAAACTTTTATTAAAATATGGTAATTACCAAAAAAGGATAACTGTTATTAGTAGGTTAGAAAATACTGCTATCATCAGCTGATGTTTCTTAAATAATGGCACCAAGACTGTGGAAGTTAAAAGGAAAAAAGAAAAGAGACATTTCATAAAATGATAATATATCCTCATATTAACACACAGCATCATGACTAAGATGATAAATTACACCCCAAATGCAAAACTTTGTAAGGAACTATGTCAAACTCATTCAAGCTTACCTTGCTGGTAAGATTAAAACTACTAAGTTAGTTTGTCTGGTTGTTCAAAATTCCCCCCTTCCTACAAAATACTTAATTTACAACCAAAACTGTACTTAATATAAAAACTTGAGCCAAAAGGTGATGGGAGTCAATTTTTTTTTTTGACACAGGATCTCACTCTGTCACCCAGGCTGGAGTGCAGTGGCGCAACGATGGCTCACAGCAGCCTTGAGCTCCTGGGGTTAGGTGATCCTCCCATCTCAGCTTCTCAAGCAGCTGAGACTATAGGTGCACCACCATGGCTGGCTTTTTTTTTTTACCTTGTAGAGACAGAGACTCACTATGTTGCCCAGGCCGGTTTCAAACTCCCAGGCTCAAGTGATCCTCCTGTCTCGGCCTACCAAAGTGCTGGGATCACAAGCATGAGCCACCACGCCCTGACTCAAACTGTACTTTATATGTAAAACTAAGTCAAAAGGTGATGGGGTTGATTCTGAACAAAGTCAACCTGGAAAACTCCATCTGCCACCCACACCCATTCTAAAGCTCAATGACAGACATCTGAATGTTCTGCAGTAAAACAGTGGCAAAAGCTGCCTGGTTGTTTTTACAACTCTCACCCCTTTCGTCTTTAGGATAAAGCTATTCCCTGAACTTGTAAATCTAGTATTTAACTGTACTAGAAAAAGCAATGCGTGACACTAGTCACACTGATGAATAATTCCAGCACAAGACTGTAAAATAACCCCAACTCAAAAGTAAATTCTATTCAGCTTCTAGAAAATATATCCTAAAGTCACTGTTCTATAATAAATGGGGGGTTTCAGCAAAACTGTGTTACCCCATTTTATCCAGAAAACTTAGCTCCATCATTACATTTAAACAAGCTAAACAACTGAGACTTAGAAAGAAGTATTAGGTAGCACAATTTCAATATATACAGTGCTAATACGGCCTGATAACAATACTGTAATCTCAGACCATAACAATGCATCTTCAGTAATGTTCAGTTATGCTGGTCAGGCATGGTGGCTCGCTCCTATAATCCTGTCATTTAAGGAGGCTGAGGCAGGTGGACTCCTTGAGCCCAGGAGTTCAAGACCAGCCTGGGCAACATGGCAGAACCTCATCTCTACAAAAAATATAGAAATTAGTTAGACGTGGTGGCAAGCACCTGTAGTCATAGCTACTCAGGAAGGGGAGACGGGAGGATCAGCCTGGGTGACAGAGTGAGACTTTGTCTCAAAAAAAAAAATTTTTTTTTAATTAGGTAAATAAAAATTTATACTTCTTTTTGTTGGTTCTTCTGTCTTTGGTGGCAGCACTTTCAGTAAATATTTTAAAAGTTAGGGCTGCTTACACACAGTAGCAATGATACCTTTCAAAATAAACCAGGTCTAAGAGGCATGGTGGCTGATGCCTGTAATACTTTGGGAGGCTAAGGCAAGAGGATCCACTTAAGCCTGTTTTGAGACTGAGGCTGAGGCTGCAGTGAGCCATGGCTGTGCCATTGCACTCTAGCCTGGGCAACAGAGTAAGACCAAATAAAATAAAATAAAATAAAATAAAAAAATAAAAAAATAAAATAAAATAAAATAGGCCTAATAAAAGGAAAGAAATAGGGAAACACTGTTGGACTCAAAAGTTAGTATCTGTTTACTGTCATAATTTTCTTTAGGAAAATCACAAAACAAAAACAAACAAAAAAAACTTCCTAAAAAAATTCAGGAAGCTTCTAAAATGTATCTAAGCAAAATAACCTCAATCTATCTTAAACACAGCAATGGACTTAGCTGTTCTTAATCTGTTGAAATACTAAAATACAGAATGTTTCTCCTTTTTATGATAGTGTCTCACTCTGTTGCCCAGGCTGGAGTGCAGTGGTGCCATCTTGGCTCACTGCAACCTCCGCCTCCCAAGTTCAAGCAGTTCTCCTGCCTCAGCCTCCCAAGTAGCTGGCATTACGGGGGTGTGCCACTGCACCCTGCTAATTTTTATATTTTTAGTAGAGATGGGGTTTCACCATGGCCAGGCTGGTCTCAAACTCCCGACTTCAGGTGATCCGCCCACCTGAGCCTCCCAAAGCACTGGGTAACAGGCGTGAGCCACCACACTGGGCCAGAATACAGAATTTTTTATTATTGTATTAAGAGATGGGTTTGGATATGGTAGCTCACACTTGTAATCCCAGCACTTTGGGAGGCCAAGGCAGGAGGATTGCTTGAGCCCAGGAGTTGGATAGGCCTGGACAACACAGCAAGACCCCATCTCCGCTAAAAATAAAAAAAATTAGCCAGGTGTAGTCCCAGCTACTCAGGAGGCTGAGATGAGAGGACTGCTTGAGCCCAGGAAGTCAAGGGCACAGTGAACTACAATCATGTCACACTGCACACTGAACTCCAACCTGGGTGACAGAGTGAGACAACGTCTCCCCAAAAAAAAAAAAAAAAAAAAAAAAAAAAAAGGGAAGATCAAAGGAGGAGGTTAAGAAGACAAATAATGAACACATCTACTACTGGACCATGAGACTGATTAAAAACTGGAAAGGTTCCTACCCCTTCTGAAGCCCACATTTCCCTGGCTTACCCATTAATAACAAGTATTGAAGAGTTCAGCCATTCCAAATACCTGCATCCTCTGCTGATTTTTGAAGGGCTTCTGCTAATTCTTGGTCTGCAATCTCCTCTGGCCGTACATCCTCTCTTCCGGCCCCATATGCCAACCGGGCGCATTCTGGTAGCTCTCCCTCAGGAAGAAAGGTGGTCTGGGAGCCTGTGGTGCCGATCACGAGTACATTTTTCTTCAGGTCAATGGAACACTTAGAAGAAACCAACCGAAGAATAATAGCAGATAAAACACCATGCAGAAACATTATGATCCTTAATTTAAAACTCCAATCACAAATGGCCAGGCACGGTGGCTCATGCCTGTAATCCCAGCACTTTGGGAGGCTGAGGAGGGTGGATCACCTGAGGTCAGGAGTTCCAGACCAGCCTGGCCAACACGGTGAAACCCCGTCTCTACTAAAAATACAAAAATTAGCCAGGCGTGGTGGCACATGCCTGTAACTCCCAGCCACTTGGGAGGCTGAGGCAGAAGAATTGCTTGAACCTGGGAGGCGGAGGTTGCAGTGAGCCAAGATGGCACCAGGCAAGGCAGTCTCCACAGTATTCTTTACTCTATACTAATGCTCACTTCCTTTTTTGTGTATTTTATAACTACTTAATAGACAGTTGTGCACATATATGATTTACATCTATAAAGGTGGAGACTGCAGGTCTATACCATGACTAAAAAAATAAGAAAAGGCAGCGACAAGGTTTTACTGATACATACATTCATTCATTCATTCGTTCTATTTAGAATGCTGTGTGTTATTATCACTATGATGCATCTACTTTTACAGAAATATTTTAAAACAGTGACATAAAAATATTGATCAGCTATATTTTCGTTTTTTTTTTTTTTTTTTTTTTTTTTTTTGAGACGGAGTCTCGCTGTGTCTCCCAGGCTGGAGTGCAGTGGCGTGATCTCGGTTCACTGCAAGCTCCGCCTCCCGGGTTCACACCATTCTCCCGCCTCAGCCTCCCAAGTAGCTGAGACTACAGGCGCCCGCCACCACGCCCGGCTAGTTTTTTGTATTTTTAGTAGAGACGGGGTTTCACCATGTTAGCCAGGATAGTCTCGATCTCCTGACCTCGTGATCCACCTGCCTCGGCCTCCCAAAGTGCTGGGATTACCGGCTTGAGCCACCGCGCCCGGCCTGATCAGCTATATTTTCAATTGTTTTTAACTCGATTTTGTTTTTTGAGTTGTGGTTTTGCTCTGTTACCCAGGCTGAAGTGTAGTGGCACAATCTTGACTCACTGCAGCCTGGTCTCAAGGGATCCTCTTGCCTCAGCCTCACGAGTAGCTAATGTACCACCACGCCTAGCTAATTTTTGTATTTTTTGTAGAGACAGGGTCTCACTAAGTCACCCAGACTGGTCTCAAACTCATTCTGGTCTCAAGCAATCCTCCCTCCTTGGCCTCCAAAAATGGGAATTATAGGGTGTACTACCGTACCTGACAGGTTGACTGGATACAAAACCCTACTGTGAAAAATGTGAAGTACCCAGTGGGGTCTATAGCCCTACCACCCTGAACATGCCCGATCTCGTCTTAATTACCCAATGGACTAACTGCTTCTTCAATGGCAGCAGTATATCTTAAAATACTGTGCTTTACAGTAGAAAAATAAGTATCAACACAAATTAATATATTAATTATGCATCCTGTATTAAATAAACACTTTCATTCGTAACATATACCTTCCTTAACCTTGAAGGTCTTCTTCCCAAGTACTGTTTGATCAGCATCAGAGAATGCTAAAGACTTACTCGACTTACACTTTTAGTCAGGTTATCACAAAACTACTAATCAGGATCTAACCAGAATCTGAAAATTATATAAGGGAACCAAACTGTCCTTTACAATCTCAAAACATTTGGCAAGATTTAACAGATTCACAGAGAGATTTCACAAAAACAGATTCTATCTGTACTGACACATCATTTCAGTCTTTGTGTAACAACATAATTTAAGGACATTTCCAGGTTTGAAAAGTCGTATTTCTTAGTTTTCCAGTATACATAACCAATAAAAATAATGTAATAACCAAATTACAAAAAGCAGATGCAAAAAAAAAAAAAAGATAAGTGAAGTTCTTAATTACCTGATGCCGTTTAAGCATGTCCAGTCCCAGAAGCATGTCCATGGGCTGTTCCTCAAGTATAGAGAAGGAACATGGCAAAAAATCTCCTTCAATCTGAACCTGAGCTAAAAAGCACATGAAGAGAAAAGGTTATTGTTATGTACTTGAAAAGAGAGATGGAGTTTCGCTCTTGTTGCCCAGGCTGGAGTGCAATGGCACGATCCTGGCTCATGGCAACCTCTGTCTCCCGGGTTCAAGTGATTCTCTTGCCTCAGCCTCCCAAGTAGCTGGGATTACAGGCATGCACCATCACGCCTGGCTAATTTTTGTATTTTTAGTAGAGACGGGGTTTCGTCATGTTGGTCAGGCTGGTCTCAAACTCCCGACCTCAGGTTACCTGTCCACCTCGGCCTCCCAAAGTGCTGGGATTTTTTTTTTTTTGAGATGGAGTCTTGCTCTGTCGCCCAGGCTAGAGTGCAGTGGCCGGATCTCAGCTCACTGTAAGCTCCGCCTCCCAGGTTTACGCCATTCTCCTGCCTCAGCCTCCCGAGTAGCTGGGACTACAGGCGCCCACCACCTCGCCCGGCTAGTTTTTTTGTATTTTTTTTTAGTAGAGACGGGGTTTCACTGTGTTAGCCAGGATGGTCTCGATCTCCTGACCTTGTGATCCGCCCGTCTCGGTCTCCCAAAGTGCTGGGATTACAGGCTTGAGCCACCGCGCCCGGCCAAGTGCTGGGATTACAGGCATGACCCACCGGGTCCAGCTGAAAAGTTCTTTTCATTATTTTTTTTTGAGACAGAGTCTTGCTCTGCTGCCCAGGCTGCAGTGCAGTGGCATGATGTCAGCTCACTGCAACCTCCGCCTCCCGTGTTCAAGTGATTCTCTGATTCTCTACCTAAACCTCCCAAGTAGACAGGATTACAAATGCGCGCCATCACACCCGGCTAATTTTTGTATTTTTAGTAGAGACAGGGTTCACTGTGTCAGCCAGGCTGGTCTCAAAACTCCTGACCTCACGTGATCCACCCACCTTGGCCTCCCAACGTGTTGGGATTACAGGCGTGAGTCACCTCACCCGGCCAAAAACTTTTTGTAGAGATTGAGTCTCACTATACTGACCAGGCTGGCCTGAATTTCTGGCCTCAGGCAGTCATCCTGCCTTGGCCTCCCAAAGTGCTGGGATTATAGGAGTGAGCCACCACACCCAGCAGATGACCTATTTTTAAAGAATTCCTTCCTTACACAAGATACTGTGTATTTTCTTCTAAAATCTGTAACTTTCCTTTCCACATCTAGGTTTTGGGTTTTTGTGGGGTTTTTTTTTTTTTTTTTTGAGACAGGGTCTGCTATGTTGCCCACGCTGGTCTCGAACTCCTAGGCTCAAGCAATCCTCCCTCCCCCGCATCTAAGTCTTTACCCTGAATTCGCTTTTGTGTGGTGTGGGTAGGATCCAATTTCTAATTCATTTCTCCCCATGGATACCTCTTGTCCCAGCAACATTTCCTAAAATTGCCCCATTGCTCTGAAAGACTTCCTCTCATTGATCAAGGTTCATATAATCAGGGGTTTGTTTCTACTCATATCTTCCAGATAGTCCTTTGACATCTAGAAGGCAATGTTGTTCTGGAGTATTTTGCTCATTCTCACAATATAGAGCCCATGCTGAATTTAAAACGAGCACATCCAGTCTCACAAACAACCAGGATTTTGATGGCATCTCAATGGCTCTGTGGATGAATGTGGGAGAACTGCCACCCCCAACATACTGAATCTTCTAATCCGTGGTAAAGCTTTCCTTTTATTTAGGTTTCTCCTATTGCTATAAGGGTTTTTTCATGCTAATCATAGCCACGGATGTAAAATCCACAAGGATGGCCACAGAGCTTGGTACTTATTTTGTCTCCTCCTATTATCTTCTCACTTAAAGCCATCAAAAATCTGAGAACTCAGCCCCTGAAGGAACCAGTTTATGGTATTCCTGCAAAACTCTCAGTCCTACTGTGTTTAGCGAAGTATGAGAATAAGGTAGTTGAACTATCTTTATCCTACACAAATTAGTAAGAGAAACACAAAGACCCTGATAAACAGACACACATATTTCAAAAGAAAGGAAAAGTAAATGTGTAAAAAAACTATCATTTGCAATGAAAGAAAAGTAACTTAGAATAAGCAACCACTCTTTTATTTGTAAAAAAAAAAAAAAATCTTTTTTGAGAAAAAAATATTGCTGTATTGCCCAGGCTGAAATATACTGGCATGATCTCGGCTCACTGCAATCTCTGCCTCCTGGGTTCAAGTGATCCTCTCACCGCAGCTTCTGGAGTAGCTGGGACTATAGGCGTACATCACAACAACTGGCTAATTTTTTGTATTTTTAGTAGAGATGTGGTTTCGCTATGTCGCCCAGGCTGGTCTCGAACTCCTGAGCTCAAGCAATCCGCCCACCTTGGCCTCTCAAAGTGCTGGGATTTTAGGCATGAGCCACCACACTCAGCCTTATTTGTAAATTTAAGAGGGAAAACTAATATTGCTTAACAGTACAGGACATTAAGATGCATATTCATTCAGCGGCGGATAAACCGGATTGGTACTGGTTAGCAACATATCAAGAGTCCTAAAGCATCCGGAACTTTGATTCAGTAGTTTCACTTACAGGAATCTTGACTAGGGGAAAAAAAATCAAAATATGCAGAAAGCTATACTGCCATGGTATAATAGGAAACATAACTGGCCAAGCGCAGCAGCTCAGGCCTGTAATCCCAGCACTCTGGGAGGCTGAGGCAGGCAAATCGCTTTGAGCTCAGGAGTTTGAGACCAGCCTGGGCAACATCGTGAAACCCTGAATCTACTACAAATCCAAAAATTACCCGGGTGTGGTAACAGCTGCCTGTAATCCCAGCAATTTGGGAGGCTGAGGCAGGAGAATCGCTTGAATCTGGGAGGCACAGGCTGCAGTGAGCCAAGATTGCGCCACTGCACTCCAGTGTGGGCAACAGAGCAAGACTGTCTCAAAAAAAAAAAAAAAAAAGAAAAAAGAAAAAAGAAAAAAAGAAAACAACCCAAAAGCTGTTCTTTAAACCTGCAACAGAAGGCTATACATTTATTCACTTATTTAAATAATTATTTTGAAATTTATAATGACATTGGGAAAAAGTTTCACTTTTTCTTAGAGCAGAATATAAAATTTTAAACATGAAATAAATCACTTTTTTTTTTTTTTTGCGACAGAGTCTCGCTGTCTCCCAGGCTAGAGTGCAGTGGCGCGATCTCGGCTCACCGCAAGCTCCGCCTCCCGGGTTCACGCCATTCTCCTGCCTCAGCCTCCCGAGTAGCTGGGACTACAGGCACCTGCCACCATGCCCGGCTAATTTTTTGTATTTTTAGTAGAGATGGGGTATCACCATGTTAGCCAGGATGGTCTCGATCTCCTGACCTCGTGATCCGCCCACCTCAGCCTCCCAAAGTGGTGGGATTACAGGTGTGAGCCACACCACGCCTGGCCGAAATAATCACCTTTTATAAGATAAAAAAATGCACAGAAAAAAGACCAGAAGGAGATATGCCCAAATGATACCGGTGGTTGATTCTCACTACAGGAATTTAAGGAATGTTTTTTACCTTCATCTCACATTTCTATACTTTTGAAGTTCTCTATAGCAAGCATCTATTAAACAGATAATGAAACAAGAAAATAAAAAGAATTCTGATTAGAGATGAAGGACTGAACACATGCATTTATCTACATTTATGTCTAAAACATTACAAAAAGGGTTTCTGGGTTGTGTCTAAGGCACATTTTTTTTTTTTTTTTTTTGAGATGGAGTTTCACTCTTGTTGCCCAGGCTGGAGTGAAATGGAATGATCTCAGCTCACTGCAACCTCCGCCTCCCAGGTTCAAGTGATTCTCCTGCCTCAGCCTCCTGAGTAGCTGGGATTACAGGCACCCGCCACCACGCTGGGCTAATTTTTGTATTTTTAGTAGAGACGGGGTTTCACCATGTTGGTCAGGCTGTCTCGAACTCCTGACCTCAGGTGATCCACCCACCTCAGCGTCCCAAAGTGCTGGGATTACAGGCGTGAGCCACTGCGCTCAGCACTAAGGCGTAACTTTTTAAGGCCAAATATAATAGTAGAGACCATAGGAACAAAATTTTAGAGCTAAAAAGCAGATGACAGTGAGGAAAACTGAGCAGCAACCCAACTGACATTACAGAACTCCTATGGGGCATAGGAACTGGTCACAAATACCTCTGCAGATAGGAGGAGAGATGGGCCCAAAGCAGCAAGGCTGGCGGGAAGGCTGCAGAGGCAGTTAGCCCTTGGGGTGTCCCTCCTGCACTCTGCTAGGCCAGGAGACCCTTCACCCCAGTAGCAGACTAGAGCCTTATTTTCTGGAGAGGGTGAAACAGAGGCACTCTTTTTTTTTTTTTTTTTGAGACGGAGTCTCGCTCTGTCGCCCAGGCTGGAGTGCAGTGGCGCGATCTCGGCTCACTGCAAGCTCCACCTCCCGGGTTCACGCCATTCTCCCGCCTCCGAGTAGCTGGGACTACAGGCGCCCGCCACCACGCCCGGCCAGTTTTCTGTATTTTTAGTAGAGACGGGGTTTCACCATGTTAGCCAGGATGGTCTCGATCTCCTGACCTCGTGATCCACCCGCCTCGGCCTCCCAAGTGCTGGGATTACAGGCTTGAGCCACCGCGCCCGAAACAGAGGCACTCTTAACAGAGGTGAGCATGGAGGGAGACAGGGACAGAACAAGTATCTAACTGAAAACCAGGGGAAATAAATAAAATCCAACTGAGATGCCAGCCTTTCTCTTCCTCCCAACTTCTAGACCCATCCTACAGTGAAGGCCACAAGGGCCATGGCTGCCTACCCAGGTCATTTTCCAAACAAGCCTTTTGGTGGCCCACTCCTTTTTTTTTGTTTTTTTTTTGAGACAAGGTTTGTCACCCAAGCTGGAGTACGGTAGTAAGAACACAGCTCACTGCAGCATCTATCTCCCTGGCTCAAGCAATACTCCTGCCTCAGCCTCTCGAGCAGCTGGGACTATTGGCACTTTCCACCACACCCGGCTATTTAACAAAAATTTTTGTAGAGACGAGTTATCTCTTTGTTGTCCAGGCTGGTCTCAAATTCCTGGCCTCAAGTCATCACCCCACATAAGCCTCCTAAAGCACTGGGATTGTAGGTGTGAGCCATCGCAGCCAGCCAGTGGCCCACTCTTCAATGTGAGCTGATGCCAAGGATCACAAGACATTTATGAAAACCATATAAAGTAAAATACAAACAAATACAAAATGCAACACAAAGGCTGGAAGACAAAGTTGAAGAAATCCCACAGAAAAACAAAAGAGAAGAAAACTAGAGGACAAGACCAGGATAGATTATCCTATGTGAATAACAGACATTCCAGAGGGGAGAAAATCATCGTCAAAATCATTCAGAGAAAGTCCCCAGAACGGAGGGATGTGAGCATCTAGACTATACAGGTTACCAAGTACCTAGTACAGTATATGAGAAGAGATCCACACCCAAGCATCCATTGTGGAAATTCAAAACGCTGAGGTCAAAGGGAAGATCTATAAGCTTCAAAGGAGAAAAACAAGGCTGGGCACGGTGGCTCAAGCCATAATCCCAGCCCTTCGGGAGGCCTGGTGGGCGGATCGATCACTTGATGACAGGAATTTGAGAGAGATCATCCTGGCCAATATGGCGAGAACACAAAAATTAGCTAGGTGTGGTGGTGCACGCCTGTGATCCCAGCTACTCAGGGAGGCTGAGTCAGGAGGATCGCTTGAACTCGGGAGGTGGACGTTGCAGTGAGCCGAGATCGCGCCACTGCACTCCAGCCTGGGCGACAGAACAAAGACTGTTTCAAAAAAACAGAAAAGAAAAAGAAAGTTTTCACATAAAGGATCAAGAATCGGAACAGAATCCACCCTCACTACAGCAACACTGACAGTGAAAAGGTTAAGGGGCAATGCCTCAAAATTGTAAAGGAAAATGATTTCCAACCTAGGCAGACGAGTAGAAGGTAGGGAAAAAAGACATGTCTGATACTTAGTCTCAATTTACTGCCACACACCTCTTCTAAGAAAGTTACTGGAAGATGCGCTCCAATAAACTGAGGAGCAGATAAAAAAGAGGAAGACAAGGGATTCATGTAATCCAACACAAGACAGAGGAGAAAGGAATCTGCAGGACTCAGTCAAGTCAAATTCCAAAACAACAGCTCTGAAGCAGGCCTGAAACTGCCGGTCCAGGCTCAAGAAGTGTCTTTGACAGGATGAAATGTACAGGTTATTGGGTGTGTTTGAATCAATTTAAAGGAGATTTACATAATTAGGAAATGTCTAGGATGAATACTACGCAAGAAACCAAGTGAGAAAAACAGGACAATTATTAATTCTAAGAGAAAATAATACTAGCCACGAAAGAAAAGCAATCACATTCAATTAGATGGCTCAGCTCTCAAACACAGTCATACAAGTAAACAGCAAAATAAACATGTTATTTAGAAATATGCAGGTAAGTATCAAAATAAATCAGCTAAAATAATGGAAAGGGATTAGCTTTTCAGGAAATAGAAACGTAGAAGAGACTAGTTTTTTTGTAACCAGCAGAAACACATAACTTTGACAGAACACAGGATTTAAAACTTCTAGAAATTAGGCTTGCTGGCTCAGACATACCCACACAAAAGAAATTTAAAACAACAACAAAATAAGAACAAAAAACCCTCTAAAAACTTGAAAATCTACTACCCAACCTACAAATAGCCTACAGAAAGACAGCAAGCCCCAGTGCCTTTTGCTCACCTAGATGTACCCTTCCAATAATCTTCTGGGTGCCCACTCCTTTGGCAATCCCTGCCCACCGACGATCCACCAGTCTCATTATATTACACCTTTCTGCACAAGCTTGGCTCATAATAGTCATCTGGGCACCTGGAGAAGTACAGAAACATCAGACAATAAAAACAAATCCACTTTGTGAGAAGACTCAAAATATAGCACTAATTAATAATAAAACAAAAACCAAGTACACCCCAAGGCTTTTCTCTCTACATAATCATTTCTACCTAGCAAGTGTCCAGGCCTGCCTCATCAACTTTCAGTTCTACTCTGTAATCTGAAACACTATATAAAATTTGACATTGAGCTAAGAATATGTTGTAGCAATGTAATAATTAAATGACATTTTAAAACTTTACCAGTAGAAAGCAATGATGTCCCGTGTCTACAGATGGCAATGCTAAATTAGCAGTACTTTGCACTTTTTACCGAGGATCTTTAAGCCGTCGCCTCTTGCACTTTTTACCGAGTATCTTTAAGCCGTCGCCTCCTGGCTTCAAACGATTCTCCTGCCTCAGCCTCCTGAGTACCTGGGATTAACAAGCTTGTGCCATCACGTCCAGCTAATTTTTTTTTTTTTTTTTTTTTGAGATGGAGTCTCACTCTGTCACCCAGGCTGGAGTGCAGTGGCGTAGTCTCGGCTCACTGCAAGCTCTGCCTCCTGGGTGCACGCCATTCTCCTGCCTCAGCCTCCCGAGTACTGTCCGCTACCACGCCCGGCTAATTTTTTGTATTTTTAGTAGAGATGGGGTTTCACAGTGTTAGCCAGGATGGTCTCGATCTGACCTCATGATCCATCCGCCTCGGCCTCCCAAAGGGCTGAGATTACAGGCATGAGCCACCATGCCCGACACGTCCAGCTAATTTTTGTATTTTTAGTAGGGACGGGGTTTCACCACTTTGGCCAGGCTGGTCTGGAACTCCTCACCACAAGTGATCTGCCCACCTCAGCCTCCCAAAGTGTTGGGATTACAGGTGTGAGCCACGGTGTCCGGCCCTATCAAGTTGTTTTTATATCAAACTTTGGGCTGGGTGTAGTGGCTCACGCCTGCAATCGTACTTTAGGAGGCCAAGACAGGAGGGATCACCTCCAAGGAGTGGGAAACCAGCTTGAGCAACATAGTAATATCCCATCTCACTATGTAAGCAAGTAAGTACATTATTTACTACTTTATCTGCTCAAAAAATAAAATTAAAAACAAAAACCTCACACTGGGACACTATAGTCTACTATTAATAAATCATGCAGTCTCCCAAAATTTAGAAGTGGACTTCCATACTCTGCTCCAACAATTAGACTCTCTTCCCTTTAAATAGGAGGGCACTTAGGCTATTTTCTCTCCCAGAAACACATACTCGGCGGGTCGGCCTATGTAGAAGACAGTCGCTTCTATAATATTTACTGTCCTAATTTCTCCCTGAAACTCTAATTCTACATTCTTGTGCACTGGACATTTCTGTCAAAGCCAACAGGCATAAACTCCTTCTCCCCAAATAATTCCCACTTTGGATTTCTCTGTCTTTGCCGATGGGATTATTTTCTCACAGCCATAAAACCTGTGCATTGTTCACTTTTGACTCTTCTAGTCTTCTTTCTTCTCTCAAACCTGTAAATAAGGTCTATGCAATTTCTGATGCCCTTTTTTCGTCTTTTTTTCGAGACGGAGTCTCGCTCTGTCACCCAGGCTGGAGTGCAGTGGTGCGATCTCGATCTCGGCTCACTGCAAGCTCTGCCTCCTGGGTTCGCGCCATTCTCCTGCCTCAGCCTCCCAAATAGCTGAGACTACAGGCGCCTGCCACCAAGCCCGGCTAATTTTTTGTATTTTTAGTAAAGACGAGGTTTCACCGTGTTAGCCAAGATGGTCTCGATCTCCTGACCTCATGATCCGCCCGCCTCCGCCTTCCAAAGTGCTGGGATTACAGGCGTGAGCCACTGCGCCCAGCCGAGTTTTACTCTTGTTGCCCAGGCTGGACTGCAATGGCACAATCTTGGTTCACTGCAAGCTCCACCTCCCACGTTCAAGCGATTCTCCTGCCTCAGCCTCCCAAGTAGCTGGGATTATAGGCAAGTGCCACCACGCCCGGCTAATTTTTGTATTTTTAGTAGAGACGGGGCTTCACTGTGTTGGCCAGACTGGTCTCGAACTCCTGACCTCAGGTGATCCACCCGCTTTGGCCTCCCAAAGTTCTGGGATTACAGGCGTGAGCCACCACGCCTGTCCTGATGCTCTTTCTTCTAACCATAGCGATCAGCCTGGCTCACGCTGCCATTCTCTTGCAAGAGGACAATTGTTCTGGCTTCCAAACCACTCCGTGGATGCGTAAAGAAAGGAAATTGTTGTGACCCATAGGGGTACAGAATTCTCCAGATCTGTATCTACCTTTAGTTTTCCTAAAATACCACTTTTTTTTTTTTTTGGAAACACAGTCTTGCTCTGTTACCCAGGCTGGAGTGCAGTACAGTGGTGTAATCTCAGCACAATGCAACCTCTGCCTCCTGGGTTCAAGCGATTCTGTTGCCTCAGCCTCCTAAGCAGTAGGATTACAGGCGTGCCACCATCATGCCTGGCTGATTTTGTATTTTTAGTAGAGATGGGGTTTCACCATGTTGGCCAGGCTGGTCTTGAATTCCTGACCTCAAGTGATCTACCCGCCTCCCAAAGTGCTGGGATTACAGGTTTGAGCCACTGCACTGGGCCAACAGTACCATTTTCAAATCACTTACTTCTTCATCTGCTTAGAAGTCCTCAATGGTTTCCACTCCTTATGAGATTAGTTTCAAACTACCATCACCACAGCTTCAGATCCCACCCCATCCTGGCTCCACTGTTTCTTTCTGACCTTACATTCTAACTACTCTAAACCCTCTGTTTCAGCAGGAGGAATATGAATGTCGCCTTTACCATTCACTCACTGTGACCCTCCAGTAAAATACTCCCTCTCTCCTGCTTTTTTTTCTGAATTCCACCGATGCTTCAAGATCCAGCTCAAGACCCACTTCCTCCTCAACTGACTGCCCTTTTGCAATGACTTTGCCTCTCACTCAATTCCAACACTTCTGCTCATATTACTCACAGGTACCCTACACTTTATAAGAAATAAAAGTTCTTGGTATTTGAGGAAGGTTAGATTTTAAAAGGCCCAGAAATAATGAAGGAAAAGGGAATTTGGAAAGGCAGCTCTCTCTTTTTCTTCCTCCTTTTTAACTTTAATCTACAAAAGCAAGTTATTAAAGTAAGCAACCCAGGGTGAGAAGGGCCCCTTTCACTGCTCTCCTGCATTTTCCAAAGCCTCAGCTCGAACGCTGTCTTTTGGAAAGACTCTCCTGAACGCCTCGGTCAGAGTGAGAAAGTGGTCTCTATAGCCATCCAACATTCACCTGAGTTTTGCACAGTGGTTGAGATTTCTGGCATCAAGGGGACCTGGGGTTGAATCCAAAGCCCACCACTCACGAACTCTGTATACCTGGAAGCGTGACTTGATCTTCTCTATATCTAAGTTTCCTTATGGATAAGATAGGAACTATAGTAGAACAAAGTACATAGAGCTGTTCTGAGGATGAAATAAAATTGAGTAAGATGATTACATTGAGCACCTAGCATGGTGCTTGGCACACAATAAGGAATCAATACACACTGAGTATTCTATTAGCATCTCCTATGTATTTGTCTTTCACTCACACAGGGGCCCTCTGAGGCTCCAGCCACTAAGTCTTATCACGAAGCACTCAGCACAAGGCCCTACACACAACAGACATTTTTAAAACGGAATAATCAGTAAATTTACTTCTCCCAGGAATGTATCTCAAGATACAAACTTCTTTTTTTTTTTTCCCCCTGAAGGCTGGGTCTCACTTACCCAGGCTGGGGCACAGTGGCACGATCACAGCTCACTGCAGCCCTGAACTCTGCAGTCACCTGAAGTAGCTGGGACTACAGGTATGCACCACCACACCCGGCTAATTTTTGTATTTTTTGTAAAGGCGAGGTTTCCCCATGTTGCCCAGGCTGGTCTCAAAACTCCTGGGCTCAAGCAATTCACGCATCTCACCCTCCCAAAATTACAGGTATGAGCCACTACACCCAGTCTCAAGGTACAAACTCTTAATGAGAGTTGAGGTCAGGAGCTCCCTATCAGCCTGCACAATTCAGGGGAATTCTCTCTACAAAAAGTTAAAAAAATCAGCCAGGTATGGTTGCACATGTCTGTAGTTCCAGCTACTTGGGAGGCTGAGGCTGGAGATCACTTGAGCCCAGGAGTTGGAGGCTGAAGTGAGCTGATCGCACCACTGCACTCTAGCCTGGGTGACACAGACTCTCTCTTTAAAAAATGAGAGAGAGAAAGCTGAAACCCAGCATGTGCTCAGGAATGCGTAGATGAACAAATGAAAGAAAATACTTTCTTTCTTTTTACATAGAAATACATAGCCAAGGAGGAAAATATTATTTGAGCAGGGGATTTTTCTACTCTAGGAACTCACTTTTCTTAGAGTCTTGAGTGAGACACCCAGAATTAAGATGCATGAGACCAGTCATATACCCACAAAATGCTGCATGGTGTAGTTTTACTAAAAAGCAAACAGTTGTTACTGACAGAAAAGGTGCCAACTAGTATGTAAATTACCTGGACCCTCAAGCAGAAGAATCCCTGTCTCCTTACCTGGTTAAGTTCTTTAAGGGTAAGAACCACACCCAGATACCCTTACACTCCTCCCAAATCTTGGCAAAGTGTTGGTGCACAGGCTAGGCTGAAATGTGTTTGATTACACCCTACACAGCTCCTTTTATAGCTCCTTCTTCTAAACCTATGTATTCCCAATTTTTTACAGAAATATCCAAGAAATTCAGGATGCTAGACAAGGGGAGCTAGGAAGATAAAGGAGACATCACAAAATACAAAACTGGTTAAGAAATGATTAAAGAAAGAAACCTAATACCAACAGAATGCCTGGCAAGTGAAACAGTAAGTCCCAGGCTGGTGAGTTAGCAGCCTAAAGAACTACAGCCATCTGGGCAGGGCGTGGTGGATCACCTGAGGTCAGGAGTTCAAGACCAGGCTGACCAACATGGTGAAACCTCATCTCGACCAAAAATATAAAAATTAGCCGGGTGCTGTGGTAGGCGCCTGTAATCCCAGCTACTCGGGAGGCTGAGGCTGGAGAATTCGCTTGAACCCAGGAGACAGAGGTTGCAGTGAGCCAAGATCGCGCCACTGCACTTCAGCCTGGGTAACAGAGCAATACTCCATCTCAAAAAAAAAAAACTACAGCCATCTGAACAGATGCTTGAGCCTCCCCTTCTCCCATGTCAGGTAAGGATGTTGGAGGGAGACCAAGAAATAAAAGACAGAGACGTCACCTGAGTCAACAAAGGCTTTCACAGGATGTCCATTCACTTTGCAGTTAATATAAAGCATCACTACTTGGCCAAAACTTTCCGGAGCCTCTTCCATAGCTATTGTCATGTTTTCCTCAATGTTCTGTTGCCTGTAACAGAACAAGACCAGGGACACTGAAAACATTAATTCCATGGAGAGAAATCAGTTTCAAAGTCACAATATTAAAAACCAGATTTGTACATATCTTTTGCCCCAAGCACAGCAGCCGAGTCACAGAAAAACTGGTGCTATATGGGGCAAGAGATCATTTCCTAGGAGGCAGTAAGATAAACAGCTGGCAGAAAATCTAAAGGCATAAAAATTACCCTATGTAAAACACTGAGCTGCCTTTACATATTCAGAAATAAGAAACTGGAGAGCAAGGGTCACAACCCCATTTTTCTGGCAGAATGTTAGAACTCTGGGAATGTTCCAATTTTAACTGAGGATTTATTGGGTATCTGAATACATTTCCTAAGCCCAGAACATTACAAAAAGTTCGCAAACAGAAAACACAAATATTTCAACTTCTTGTGCTGCTTTATCTGCAGGACTGGGTTTTCTAATCTGTATACTGAGGATAATTGTTACCTACGTTGCTGAGAGGTACAAATCATCTAGTATACAGTGCTCATATAACAGCTTATGCTACAAAAAAACTGCATCCATCGCTTAAAACTACATGTGTTTCATAGTTCATTTGATCCATGAAACGATATGTTTAAAAATTCAACATGCTGGCTAGGCACAGTGGCTCACGCCTGTAATCCCAACACTTTGGGAGGCCAAGACGGGTGGATCACCTGAGGTCAGGAGTTCAATACCAGCCTGGCTTACATGGTGAAACCCCATCTCTACTAAATATACAAAAATTAGTTGGGCGTGGTGGCAGGCGCCTGTAATCCCAGCAACTCAGGAAGCTGAGGCAGTAGAACCACTTGAACCTGGGAGGCGGAGGTTGCAGTGAGCCGAGATCGTGCCACTACACTCCAGCCTGGGTGACAGAGTGAGACACCATCTCAAAAAAAAAAAAAAAAAAAAAAAAAAAATCAACATGCTAGGTGCAGTGGCTCACACCTGTAGTTCCAGCACTTTGGAAGGCCAAAGTAGGTGGATCCCTTGAGCTCAGGAGTTTGAGCTCGAGTTTCAGACCAGCCTGGGCAACACAGTGAAACCCCATCTTTCCCCACCAAAAGGAAAAAAAAAACAAAAAAATAAACACAACTCTAATTCTTACATGAGAAAAACAACAAAAGGGAGTTACTGCTTACTCCAACATCTCATGTTTATTCCCAATTTTTTTCTACTCCCTTAAAACAGCATGAATCAATCTCCTTTTAAAAACATTATCAAATACTACCAACATTAATGGAAACTAGGTTAGAGGCTGGGCAACTTACCTGAAGACTGAGACACTAACAGAACAGGTTCTAAGATTCGGGATAAACTACACTGTAAATTCAGGGTTGGTAAATCATAGTCTGCTGTTTAGGCAAAAAAAGTTTTATGGAAACACAGTAGTATCATGCATTTACATACTGTCCTATTATCTATGGCTGCTTTCGCATGGCAGTGGTGGAGTTGAACATGAGCAACACAGATTGTATGGTCTGGTCTGCAAAGACTAAAATACTTACTATCTGCCCATCTGTAGAAAGTCCACTAAAGCCAGGCACTGCTGTGTGCCTATAATCCCAGCACTTTGGGAGGCCAAGGCAGGAGGATCACTCGAGGCCAGGAGTTTGATACCAGCCTGGGCAACACAGTGAGACCCTATCACTAAAATTAGCTGGGCGTGGTAGCACAAGCCTGTAGTCCCAGCTATTCAGGAGACTGAGGCAAGAGATTGCTTGGGCCTGGGAGGCTGAGGCTGCAGTGAGCTATGATGGTACCACTGCATTCCAGCCTAGACGACAGAGCAAGACACGGCCCCCCCTTTTTTTTTTTTTTGCCCTGTTTTATGGTGCTGACCCTGTCTCTTAAACAAACAAACAAAAAATAAACCTCAGGCCAAGCATTATAGGTGGCTCACACCTATAATCCAAGCACTCTGGGAGTTGGACAGATCACTCGAGCCCAGGACTTTAAGACATGACTGGGCAACATGGTGAAACCTCGTCTCTACAAAATACAAGAAAAATTAGCCAGATGTGGTGGTGTGCCTATAGACCCAGCTACTCGGGAGGTTGATGGGGGAAGATCACCTGAGCCCGAGAAGTTGAGGCTACGAGCCACGATCGTACCACTGCACTGCAGTCTAGACGTCAGAGGCCCAAATAAACAAAACTCTGCTGACTCTGGCTCTAACTATAGTTTCTGCCCTTTTCATAATAATCATCGAGCTCAAGTGAACTGATGGCTTTATCAGCCATTTTGCAACAAAATTTAAACTCAGAAAGTCAAAGGCACCTTCCTTTAGGCAAATATGAAAGCTATCGAACCTCGGTGTTCACATACCCTGTGTAATCACTAGTGTAACAAGCCAAATGAAACTTTAACAGACATTTGATATAATTACACAGGTTTTATGCTATTGCACATTATTAAACATAGAAATAACCTAAAATTAATTGTATACTTCATCTTGCATGGACTCCAACCCAAATGAGTTTCAACAAAAAATCCTCTGCAATAACACCAGCTACTTTGGCTTTTCTGGGGTCCATATGTAGAGAGTCTCTTCAGAGGTACAAGGTTTTCACCTTTCAAAGAGTAAATGTGGTCAGGTGCAATGGCTCACACCTGTAATCCCAGCACATTGGCAGGATGAGGAGGGCGAATCACCTGAGGTCAGGAGTTCAAGACCAGCCTGGCCATGATGGTGAAACCCCGTCTTTACTAAAAATACCAAAATAGCCTGGCGTGGTGGTGCATGCCTGTAATCCCACCTACTCAGAAGGCTGAGGCAGGAGAATCGCTTGAACCTGGGAGAAGGAGGTTGCAATGAGCTGAAATTGTGCCACTGCACTCAGGCCTGGGCGACAGAACAAGACTCCATCTTGAGCAGGGGGTGGGGAAGAGAACAGATGTGTTACCCCATTTCCTTCACTCAAGACCTAGAAAGAAACATGAGCCATATGGACACTATCTATTTCATTTCTCTTATTTTTTTGAGACGAAGTTTCATAATGACTTAGGGCTGTCAATTAATTCTAGTGTACAATTATATTTCTTTTTTTTTTTCCCTAAGATGGGGGTCTCACTCTCTTGCCCAGGTTGGAATGCAATCATAGCTTACTGCAGCCTCCAACTCCTGGGCTTGAGGGATCTTCCTGCCTCAGCCGCCTGAGTAGCTAGGACAGAAGGTGCATGCCACCATACCTGGCTAATTTATTTTATTTTTTGTAAAGACAGAGTCTCACTTTGCTGCCCAGGCTGGTCTCAAACTCCTCGCTTCGAGCAAAGTGTTGGGATTATAGGCATGAGCCACCATGACTAGCCTATATTTCTGATTTCAAATGTAGTAAGAAGAGTATGAGGCAGGGCATGGTGCTCACACTTGTAATCCCAGCACTTTGAGAGGCTGAGGTGGGAGATCAATTGAGGTCAGGAGTTTGAGACTAGCCTGGCCAACATGGCAAAACCTTGTCTCAAAAAAAAAAAAAAAAAGGCCGGGCGCGGTGGCTCAAGCCTGTAATCCCAGCACTTTGGGAGGCCGAGACGGGCGGATCATGAGGTCAGGAGATCGAGACCATCCTGGCTAACACGGTGAAACCCCATCTCTACTTTAAAAAATACAAAAAACTAGCTGGGCGAGGTGGCGGCGCCTGTAGTCCCAGCTACTCGGGAGGCTGAGGCAGGAGAATGGCGTGAACCCGGGAGGCGGAGCTTGCAGTGAGCTGAGATCCGGCCACTGCACTCCAGCCTGGGCGGCAGAGCGAGACTCCGTCTCAAAAAAAAAAAAAAAAAAAAAAAAGAAAAGAAAAATGAAAAAGAAGAAGAAGGAAGGGCTAAGTGCTGTGGCTCATGTCTATAATCCCAGCACTTTGGGAGGCTGAGGCGCGTGGATTGCGTGAGCTCAGGAGTTCAAGACCAGCCAGGGCAAGATGGTGAAATCCTGTCTCTTCAAAAAATGAAAAAATTAGCTGGGCATGGTGGCGGATGCCTGTATTCCCAGCTATCTGGGAGGCTAAGGTAAGAGGAACACCTCAGTCTAGGGGAGGTCCAGGCTGCAATAAGCTGTTATTGTGCCAATGTACTCCAGCCTGGGTGACAGAGTGAGACCTTGTCTCAAAAAAAAAAAAAAAAAAAAAAGAAAAAAGATAAAAAGAATGAGAAGTTTAAAAAAGCATGATTTGATTTCTAAGTTGATAGTGTAATACAATGACCAAGTTAGGCTTCATTTAAGTAACCGAAATGACGACACAGTCCCTAAAAGGCTAAGTAGTCTAAGTGTAAGTATCATTGCTGTTATCCTCTTCTTAGTTATACTTTTTCACAATTAGCAAACAAAAACTGACTTGAGGTGGGAAAAGCAGCTGTCCTTTTTTTCAGAGAATGACTGAACAGAATCTTGCTTGTGACTATCAGTGTGACTGAGGCCAGAACGGCGTCACTGTCCTTGCCTGAGCTCCATGCCCAACAATTCTGATTCATCAGATTTGGGAGAAGAGCCCGAGCATCTGCATTTTTAAAAGCTTCTCATATGATTTTACTATAGCCCCAGGTGAGAACCACTGCATTACAGAAACTGAGGGCTGGAAACATGTCCAATATTCAGTTTATCCACTGAGGCCAGTACAAGAAATGCAGCAGGAAAACAGACTTAGGACTACCAATGTTCCATCAGCTCAGAGCCCTCTCTAATCCAATCATGTTTAAGCCCTGGATTTAGTCAGGACTTACACAATATGTCTAAAGAAAGAGGGTCAAATCAGCCCATGTAATATGCAACCAGCCTTGCGGTCTCACCAGAGGGTGGCTTCTGCTCAGTCTGGGGGTCATTTATCTAGAACTGTGTTATGATGCTCTGTCTGCTAGTCAGGGAGTCTTCCTTAAAATTTTAGAACAGAAAGTCATTAAGCTCAGTACCTATATCTTTGTCATGTCGAATCGAAATGCGTAGAAAATGAAAGAGGAGAGACTAAACTAAAAGACTGAGGTTACTATCTCAACTGCAAAACAGAGAAGCTGCCTCCAAGCAGATGCCCAACTAATGTTAGATACCCTGCAGTTTGGGAAATCTGGACTCTCTGAGTCTTGTTCTTTAGATGAACAGATCATTCATTACCTGATATCTTCTTCTATCTTTGCCTGAGCTTCAAGGTCAAAGGGATCAGCAGAAAACAGACGAATCCTTTCTTGCTCTCTCCGGGCTCGGTCCTGCTGCTGCTCCACCAGGACTCTAGAGAATTTCTCTACAAAAATAAGGGAGAAAAATCTTAAATACCGCTGTATTTTCAACCTTTATCAATACTTTCCCACACCAAACAATTTCTCAAACTACAACTGTAAGATGCAGAGAGGATGCCTAAAGCTTATTTGAAATGAGCAATTACATTTACTTTCTATTCTCCGAGTCAAGGCTATTTCGTCATTTAAATTCAGCATAAAGAAAGTATTTGTGGCTGGGTGTGGTAGCTCACACCTGTAATCTCGACACTTTGGGAGGCTGAGGTGGGAGGACCATTTGAGCCTAGGAGTTCGAGATCAGCCTGGGCAACATAGCAAGACCTTGTCTCTACAAAAAATATAAAAATTAGCCGAGCATGGTGGTGCATGCCTGTAGTCCCAGCTACTGTTGGGTGGGGGTTCAAGTGTGGGGGGATGGCTTGAGTCCAGGAGGTCGAGGCTGCAGTGAGCTGTGATGGCACCACACACTCCAGCCTGGGTGACATGGTGAGACCCTGTCTTAAAAAAAAAAAGTATTTGCAAAAATCTTTTATAAGAAGTTATCTATCATATTGTTTCTACTCAGAGGTAACAACTTTCCAATTTAAAACGGTGGGGAGTGATCATGTGGCAGATGAATGTCCCCACTCCTCCCCTCCCCGTTGCTCCCCATTGTCCTCATTGTCCTATTACCTAGAAACAAAATACAGCATTATATAATCTCCTTTTCCTCTTCTAGTTTCATTTCCTTTATAATATGCCCTGCCTTAAGCCAGATAAATTAAGTATAAACTATTGTTAGTCTACCTATATTTTGTGTGTTCTGATGAAATAATAGGCAGGAAAATTAGAGAAAACACTGCTTGCTACAAGATGTACATTACAACAAGAATCTATTTTGCAATTTGTCTCTTTTTTTGAGACGGAGTTTCAATCTTGTTGCCCAGGCCAGAGTGCAATGGCGCAATCTCGGCTCACTACAACCTCCACCTCCCGAGTTCAAGTGATTCTCCTGCCTCAGCCTCCCAAGTAGCTGGGATTACAGGCGCCTGCCACCACGTCCAGCTAATTTTTTGTATTTTTAGTAGAGATGGGGTTTCACAATGTTGGCCAGGCTGGTGTTGAACTCCTGACCTCAGGTGATCCACCGTGCCCGGCCTATTTTGCAATGTCTTAAATGGTGGTACGTTTAAGTGTGCAAACTTAAATGCCTCATCATCACGGTCTTTGGTGATTAGACATACTGACATAAGAAATTAAAAGATATTGTGACAAGGTTTATCTGAACTACTAATGCACACAATACAGATGGATCTAAAAAGCAGTAAGTTGAGTGAAAGTACTTTGGGAGGCCCAGACAGGTGGATCACGACGTTAGGAGTTTGGGACCAGTCTGGCCAACAGGGTGGCCAGGAGTTTGGGACCAGTCTGGCCAACATGTATTATCTACTAATAATACAACAATTAGCTGGGTGTGGTGGTGTACGCCTGTAGTCCCAGGTACTTGGGAGGCTGAGGTGGGAGAATTGCTTGAACCCGGGAGGTGAAGGTTGCAGTGAGCAGAGATCGCACCACTGCACTACAGCCTCGGAGACAGAGTGAGACTCCCTCTCAAAAAAAAAAAAAAAAAAAAGCCTAACACGAAAGAGCAGACACTCTATTATTACATATACATGAAGACAGGCGAAACTAAACTGTAAGATTATCAAAACAGTAGTAACCTATAAGGAGAGGAAACTGACTAGCAAGGAACATAGTGGAACTTTCTGGAGTGAGAGAAATGTCCTGTGTCTTGATTGGGCTTACAGGAGTTTGTCAAAACTCAAGGAATTGTATATTTAAAATCTACGTATTTCACTGTAAGGTAAAGATTGCCAATTTAAAGACAGTCAATTGAGGAATGAGTCATTAAGTGTCTGTTATGTTTTTAGACTTAACCCAATTTAACTCATAAATCCAAGAGTAAAATGAGAGCAATTTACAGAGAAAACTCGATTCATAAAGATGGCTAAAAGTTGGCTGAGTGCGACAGCTCATGCCTGTAATCCCAGCACTCTGGGAGGCCAAGGCAGGCAGGCTGCTTGAGCCCAAGAATTTGAAACCAGCCTGGACAATATGGCAAAACTCCATCTCTACAAAAAAATACAAAAAATAACTTGCAGTACGCTGAGGTTAAGGTGATTTCATTTTGCCATACAGGGCACTGAACCTGTTTCCTGTAACTAAAAAAAAATGCCAGCTGGCATCAGCTGGCTTGTTGGTGCTCTTTAATTGAAGATCTAACAGGTTAAAATATCAGTACCGGCCAGGCACGGTGGCTCACGCCTGTAATCTCAGCACTTTGAGAGGCTGAGGCAGGTGGATCACGAGGTCAGGAGATCGAGACCATCCTGGCTAACACGGTGAAACCCCATCTCTACTAAAAACAAAAAATTGGCCCAGGCGTGGCGGCAGGCACCTGTAGTTCCAGCTACTCAGGAGGCTGAGGCAGGAGAATGGTGTGAACCTGGGAGGCAGATCTGGCAGTGAGCCAAGACTGCGCCACTGCACTCCAGCCTGGGTAACAGAGCGAGACTCCATCTCAAAAAAAAAAAAAAAAAAAAAAAATCAGTACCTAGGTTATGCGCTGCCAAAACAATGAGGAAAACAAAAAGTAAACCGAGGGGGGTGGCCTAGATGGATTTCACTCCGAAAACTCTATTGCTGATTCCAATTAACTCAGCCTTTGACTTTAGCACTAATCTACCTCTCACAGAGAAAAAACTGGTATGTTCAATAAATCATTTGACACAGTGTTGCTTGAGTCTCTTCACATTTGCTATGACACAGCTTCTTCACCTCAGGCCAGCCTAACAGCCTTCCAAATTTATAAGCTTACCAAGGTCTCCACTGAGCAGAGCTTCTGCCAGGGGTGGATTGCGTTCCTTCAGCAAGGACAGCTCATGCGGGTTGGCCAGCAACATACCTCGGAGCAAGGCTGGATTGTCCAAGCCCTGAGGAGATGAAGTTATTTCTCCAGGAGATGAGTGGGACTGCTGTGTTCCTGGTGGCTGGCGCTGCCGGGGACTTGATGTGCCAGGCACAGCTATACTACTGAAATCTATTCGGGGTAAGTCTGTTGGGGAAAATCAATTCAGTTTACTCAAATTACTCTACAAAAACAAGCACTTGAAGGAAACAGCAGAACACTTGCTCATACATGGTACATGACAACAGCAAAGGTAACTGTAGACTTTACCCTTGTTCTTTCTCATGCTGACTCTGAATATGAAGACTGCAGGCTGAGAGTGAATCAATAGGAAAGAAGAAAAATAAGGGGAAGGTGACAGTAGTAACCCCAAATTTTTAGCTTATAAAATATCTCACAATAGACATCAGGTTTTTAATTTATGTTTTTAAATAATTAAAGCCGCCGGGTGCGGTGGCTCACACCTGTAATCCCAGCACTTTGGGAGGCCAAGGCAGCTGGATCACCTGAGGTCAGAAGTTCCAGACCAGCCTGGTCAACATGGTGAAACCCCATCTCTACTAAATATACAAAAATTAGCTGGGGGTGGTGGCAGTCGTCTGTAATCCCAGCTACTTGGGAGGCTGAGGCAGGAGAATCGTTTCAACCCGAGAGGCGGAGGTTGCAGTGAGCCAAGATCGTGTCATTGCACTCCAGCCCAGGTGACAAGAATGAAACTTTGCCGGGCGCGGTGGCTCAAGCCCGTAATCCCAGCACTTTGGGAGGCCGAGACGGGCGGATCACGAGGTCAGGAGACCGAGACCATCCTGGCTAACACGGTGAAACCCCGTCTCTACTAAAAAATACAAAAAACTAGCCTGGCGAGGTGGTGGGCGCCTGTAGTCCCAGCTACTCGGGAGGCTGAGGCAGGAGAATGGCGTAAACCCGGCAGGCGGAGCTTGTAGTGAGCTGAGATCTGGCCACTGCACTCCAGCCTGGGCGACAGAGTGAGATTCCGTCTCAAAAAAAAAAAAAAAAGAAGAATGAAACTTTGTTTCAAAAAAAAAAAAAATTAAAGCTAGTTTCAATAAATATAATTGCATAAGTCTGGATGTTGTTCTTGAGAAAAATCCTACTCTGGTCTGACATATGGTTCAAACAGCCTTGGTGCTTGGATTAAAGAATTTTTTTTTTTTTTTTTTTTTTTTTTGAGACAGAGTCTTGCCTTGTTGCCCAGGCTGGAGTGCAACGGCGCGATCTTGCCTCACTGCAACCTCTGCCTCCTGGGTTCAAGTGATTCTTCTGCCTCAGCCTCCTGAGTAACTGCGATTACAGGCGTCTGCCACTAAGCCCACCTAATTTTTTGTATTTTTAGTAGAGATGGGATTTCACCATGTTGGCCAGGCTGGTCTCGAACTCCTGACCTCAGGTGAGCCACCCACCTCAGGCTCCCAAAGTGCTGGGATTATAAGAGTGAGCCACCCTGCCCAGCCGGATCAAAGGATATTATATATATCAAGTGAGCAGCATAAATATTAGATGCTAAATTCTGCAAGTCAGTGCTAAACGTATTGGCTCAGGGAAGTTCTTAATAGTTCTCTGAATTTATACTTTCATCTGTGCATCTCTGCTAACTCTTCTCATGCCCCTGGGGGGCTAAACAGTGTCATCATTTTATAGAAAAGAAGAAAAGGGCCGGGCGCGGTGGCTCAAGCCTGTAATCCCAGCACTTTGGGAGGCCAAGACGGGTGGATCACGAGGTCAGGAGATCGAGACCATCCTGGCTAACACGGTGAATCCCCGTCTCTGCTAAGAAATACAAAAAACTAGCCGGGCGAGGTGGCGGCGCCTGTAGTCCCAGCTACTCGGGAGGCTGAGGCGGGAGAAGGGCGTGAACCCGGGAGGCGGAGCTTGCAGTGAGCTGAGATCCGGCCACTGCACTCCAGCCTGGGCTACAGAGCGAGACTCCGTCTCAAAAAAAAAAAAAAAAAAAAAAAAAGGAAGAAAAGGGACTTGCATAGGTTCTCAGTGCTGATTACACCAAAAGCTACTATATTTTAGAAGCCAGAACTCCCAGGTTCTATATGCCAGGCTCGGCTGACCTTACTAAACTGAAAGGAAAATAAAAGGGAATTTTAATTCTTACACAAAGGACTCACACATTGTATGACCCCATTTATATGAAATGTCCCAAATAGGTAAATACATAGAGACAGAAAGTAGACCTGTAGTTGTCTAGGCTGCGGAGCCTAGGGGGAAATGGGAGATGACTATAAATGGGTTTAGGATTTATTTTTAAGGTAATGGAAATATGCTAAAATGGATTGTGGTGACGGTTACACAACTCATGAATATAGTAAACAAAAATTAAATGCATGAATTGTATCTCAATAAAACTGTTATTTAAAAAAGAAAAATGAAAAAGAAAAGTAAACAAGGAGAGCCAGAATGAGGGGCTAGGCCTGAGTCAATGAACATTCCTTCAACTCCAAAAAATATATTTGATGGTCAAACTTGTCTGAACAATGAGTACTGTTCTTAGAGATAATTGTGTTTAATGTTATAAATGACAGTACACTAAGCAATTTCACAGTGATCAGAATTATAGCACAATCCTTGCACTATTAAGGATTTTATATAAACTAAAAAACCAAAAAACAAACAAACTTGTCTCAAGTCTGGGACTATCCTGAAGCCTTTCTGGACCTCAGATAGAAAAAGAGAAAGCTTAAACTCATGATGTAACATTTCTACCCTTTAGCAGGGGTTCAATTAGCCACTTTCTTCAACTCCCAACCAAGGAAAAGGTGAAGTTAACAGGATGATCTCTGTGAGGTAGCTAATCTATACCAGCCAGGAAAAAACATATATGGGTGGGCCCTCTTTGCAGGTCAAGACATTTTATCTCCACCCGTTATACATTATCTTGAGAGTCCATTCACTTCAGAGTAATTCTCAAAAACATGTTTACTTAATAGACCAGATCACTCCCGCCCCAACCCGTTGGCTCTCTTGTCCATATGCAACAATACGGGGGGTGGTGGGGGAAGAAGTAAATTCCAGAATTAACAATCTCATCAAATTAACCAAAGGAAGATGTGGTTTTTACTGATTGTCACAGTTGTTTAAATACGTTTAACTTCTTTAGAAAGAAGTTTTAACTTCTTTCTAAAGTTTAACTGTGGCCCCAAGGGACTAATGTCTTCCAGATCTGGTGGAGCCAGTCCTTGATGGTCTCAGTAAGCTCCAGTTTCAGGCTGAATGGAAACACTGTGGTTAAAGCTGCAGTCAGTCTGTCATCACCCAGACTCTGCCAGCATCTGTCACCATAAACTTTAAAACTGGTGACCTACGGGCTAAACACTATTTAAGAAAATCTATCTGAATATGGCAGGGAATGGAAAAAAACCACACATTTCACCAAGCTGTTTCACATTAAGACCTTATAAAACACTTTGTGGATCCATAAGCCACTTCAAGTATCTGAACAAAGGTATGACCCTCTGTCTATCCAGTACACACACACGTTCACATCCACACAATTCTGCATATTATTTTAGTGACATAGAACCTACTAAATCCCAGTGCACAGATTTCAGACCATAAACATCTATTATAAAAGGAGCATCAAAGATAGATAAATGTTTCTTTGTATGTGATTAACACAGTTGGTAGGAAAGAACCACAACTTGGTGGTCAAGCTGCTTAATGTTTATCAAGTTCAGCATAATGGAAAAAACATCACATTTTAATTCCTGTGCCCTCACTTAATAGTCATGTAACTTTAAAGACATCATTTAAAATCTGGCTTCATAATTATAAATTATTATGCAAATAATTATGTAAATCCTCACACAATCAAGTTATGAGATCATGTGAAATGCAGCTCCAAGTGCCTGGCTGGCTATAAAATGCTCCAGAAAGGCTTGGCCACTGAAGGACAGACACAAAGTAGCAAAATCATAGGCTTACGCATTCTTTCAAGTCCTTCCCAAGGATAAAGATTATTGTATAATTATCACTGATAACAGAAGCTAATATTTATTGAGGGCTTGCTATGTGCTGAAGATTTTACATGCATTAGCCTCATGTCAGCTTTAGGAGTTGGGGTTAATTATGGCACCTATCTTATAGAAGAGGAAACCAATTTAGAGACGTTAAAATGCTTGTTCAAGGTTACACAGCAGGGAAAAGGCAGAGTCAGGATCTGTATCCTGCAGTCTGAATCCAAAGCAAATCCAAAACTCTGAGGCGCTACGCTCTGCTACCTGCTGATGGCTGTGCTGGGGGATGCTCAACCACCAGATGTCTTACTTGGGAACTGCACTGGAGGTCGAGGGTCTGCATTCTCCTTCTGTCGTAAAATCACAACGTCCCCATCTTTCAAGCCATAAGAAGCCAACGATCTGTGGTTGTCTGTGAGAGGTCTTTCAGCATAGACGATCTACAACAAGAAAAGATACACAACAGTATAATGCACTGAGAAGTAACAGAGCACAAAGCAGAAGGACCAGTTTTCCTCTGAATCAGATGTCACACTCCATTCAAACCCTCCAGTGGATTCCCACCACATCCAGAACAAAACCCACAGTCCTTCCCGTCACCGACCAGGACCAAACAATTTGGCCCCTGGCTCTCCTTCTGACTTCGTCTTTCACTATGACTGCTGTTCCTCAAATACCAGGGATCAACTTCCCCTTCAGGGCTGTTTCTCTTGTTTTCTCTACCTGAGGAATGTTCTTTTTCAACTCCTTTTTTTCCTTTTACGTCTCTGATCAAACATTACTCTTTAGAGTTCTTCCCTAATATGTTATTTAAAATATACTCTCGACTAACACAATATATATTTATTTATTTATTGTCCTTCTGCCCCATTAAATGTAAACTACTTGAGGACAAGGACTTTGTTTCATTCACCAGATCATAAATGCTTAGAACAGGGCCTCTTATATAACTGATGCTCAAATATTTGATGAACTAAAGAATGAATTTATGAAAATGGATATAATTTTAGATTTAATTTTTAGCAGGGAGGAAAAGGGAATGATTTATTCTGGGTATGCTAACTAACTACAGTACTACTAAATAAAGTGTACACTTTGAAATAATCTTGTACACTGGCAAAAGGTTCCCAAACATCATCCTTCCTGCACTGCATTCTTCCTTCTCTTCTACCATTCCCAAAGTTGTATCACTCTGGGCTGGGCACGGTGGCTCACGTCTGTAATCCCAGCACTTTGGGAGGCCAAGGCAGGTGGATCACGAGGTCAGGGATTCGAGACCAGCCTGGCCAACATGGTGAAACTCTGTCTCTACTAAAAATACAAAAACTAGCCAGGTGTGGTGGCACGCACCTGTAATCCCAGCTACTCCAGAGGCTGAGGCAGGAGAATTGCTTAAACCCGGGAGGCAAAGGTTGCAGTACTGAGATCGCACCACTGCACTCTAGTCTGGGCAAGCAAGACTCCGTCTTGGTGGCGGGGCGGGGCGGGGCGGGGGGCAAGACTGGAAAATAAAGTGAAACTAAGAAAATAACAACTAAATACAAGTGGAAAAAAAGAATTAGGAATGTACTACTAATAAAAATATTTTATGATGTGTAATCATACTGAAGAAAACCTGAGAGCACAAACAGATGAAATAACGTACTATAGATAGAAAGAACAAAGGTACCCTATAATTTTATTACGAAAAAACATAAAATCTGCCCTGCATTATTACATACTCCAGAAAGGCATTCAGAATAAACTCAGGCTTTGAAAGGTTTTCCTCCTAATGATTCACTTTTCACCAGGCCACATGCGAACTGAGGAACCTGAGTTCTACCCTGGCTCTGCCAGTAACTCCATGCAAGGGGCATGACACTCAGCAGGTCCAGGCCTCACCCTTTCCATGTGTCAAGCAAGCAGGTGGGCTAGATCATCATTACAGCTGTCCCTTCCAGTTCTCTCTGCTAACATTATCATTCTATGTTTCCTTACAGCTTTCATAGTAAGGTTACCTGAAATAAAAACTGAAAACACAGCATTTAAACTGGAAAAAAAGTGATTCTGTCATATCTGCTCTCAGAATTTATAGACATGAGGAATAGAACACGAAAATGAGTTCCTACCAAAATCGAATTCTGAATATGAGCAAATTTGTAGGCCCAATTATACAAGTTTTATGCATGACTTGAAAAAATACTATTAAGTTCTTTTTTTTTTTTTTTTTTGAGACGGAGTCTCGCTGTGTCGCCCAGGCTGGAGTGCAGTGGCCAGATCTCAGCTCACTGCAAGCACCGCCTCCCAGGTTTACGCCATTCTCCTGCCTCAGCCTCCCGAGTAGCTGGGACTACAGGCGCCCGCCACCACGCCCAGCTAGTTATTTGTATTTTTTTTAGTACAGACGGGGTTTCACCGTGTTAGCCAGGATGGTCTCGATCTCCTGACCTTGTGATCCGCCCATCTCGGTCTCCCAAAGTGCTGGGATTACAGGCTTGAGCCACCGCGCCTGGCCACTATTAAGTTCTTAATGCTCAATCTGCTGAGTTAAAAAACATTTCAGATCTAGTATGATGGCTCACACCTGTAATCCTAGCACTTGGGGAGGCTGAGGCGGGAGCATCGCTTAACCCATTTAGGCCAGCGGTTGCAGATTTTTTGTGTGTGAAAAAATCATACCTTGGCAATGACCTTGAGCGGTAAGATATAACTCCCACAAGCTGGGTTAAGCCCTGGAGTTTGAGATCAGCCTGGGCAACATAGTGAGAATCCATATCTAAAAAAATTTTTTAAATGGCCAGCCATGGTAGCATGTGACTGTAGTCCCAGCTACTTAGGAGTCTGAGGCAGGAGGATTGCTTAAGCCCAGGAGGTCCAGGCTGTAGTGAGCTGCGGTTGTACCACTGCACTCCAGCCTGGGGACAGAGTAAGACCCTGCCTCTTAAAAAACAAAAACAAACAAACAAAAAGAACCACATTTCAACAGACTGCAACTGTCACTCCCATCATCCCATTCACACACCCTTATTTAAGCACGTATTTCACAGTAAAAGTACATCAGCATCAACACAGATTTTCTGCAAAACAACTGGGAGTCATATTATAACTTGTGAGACTGCTTGGAAAAACACATAAACCAGAAGTGATAAGCATCACAGGTTGAGGTGTGCAACAAGAAAAAAGAGGTATGCCAAGAGAAATGGCAGGTAGACAGGCTCTTACAGCATAGCATCAACACTGTGAAGCCACTGTCAACAACTTACTCTTTAATTTTCCAGTTTCAGAAATTTGACTATCAGTATATTCAGAGATACATGAACAGTCTCCTGGGAGCAGAGGCACATTCTAACTGCATTTATTTATTTATTTATTGAGACGGAGTCTCGCTCTGTCGCCCCAGGTGGAGTGAAGTGGCGGGATCTCGGCTCACTGCAAGCTCCGCCTCCCGGGTTCACGCCATTCTCCTGCCTAGGCCTCCTGAGTAGCTGGGACTACAGGCTCCTGCCACCATGCCCAGCTAATTTTTTTTTTTTTTTTTTTTTTTGGTATTTTTAGTAGAGACAGGGTTTCGCCGTGTTAGCCAGCATGGTCTCAATCTCCTGACTTTGTGATCTGCCCGTCTCTGCCCCCTAAAGTGCTGGGATTACAGAGTGAGCCAATGCGCCCGGTCATTAACTGTATTTATAAACGAAAATTTATTTATTTGCAAGGAGGAATCAAACTCAGGAGAATCAAAATGATCCTATGCAGGCTGGGTGCCGTGGCTCACGCCTGTAATACCAACACTTTGGGAGGATGAGGTAGGAAGATTGTTTGAGGCCAGGAATGCAAAGCCAGACTGGGCAACACAACAAGACCCCACCTCTAAAATAATAATAATAATAATAATTAGCTGGCATGGTAGCATATGCCTGTAGTCTCAACTATTTGGGAGACTGAAGCAGGAGGATCACCTGAGCCCAGGAGTTCACGGTTGCAGTGAGCTATGATTGTACCACGGCACTCCAGCCTGGGAAACAGAATAAGATCTTGTCTCTTAAAATAAAAAAAAGAAGAAGAAGAAAACTGCAATTGGAACAACTGTCGGATTTCAAAGCCCATACTCAAGTATTATATACAGCTTTCCCAAACATAACCCTGAAGTGGCCTGGTGAATTATGTGGGTGACTTTAACAAGCACTACTAAGCCATCCATTGCCACAAAGAGACTCGACTCTATCCACCAGGAGGATTAAAATACTGTCCACTGCTCAACGCATCCCCACGCCCTGAACATGAGGAAACACCACCAACTGCCCGCTCTGACTCCCACTTCACAGATGCCATACTTCATTCCATCACTGCTTAGTTGCCACAGTATTTCCTCAGCAGACAATATCATTTTTTAAAGGAAGGCAGCATGATCTAACAAATACAAATGTAAAATCTAGATAATCACCACACTGAGCATGTCTATGAAATATGGAATGTTGCTCCAGCGCCAATTTCCTGGAAACACTAGACTGAAGAACCTGGGTGAGGAGCACGCGTTCCTCACACTGACGAAGCAGCAGCTGTGCTCCGTTTTAGTCTAAGGACATAAATGAGATCAACTAAAGCTCAGCTAAAATTGTAATTGCCACAAAGAACTGATTTCATTTTGTTTAAACGGGCTTAAGAGTCCAAGACAGACAATTATTTTGCAGCAAAAGTCCCAAAATAAATCCATGTGATCTTCCAACGGAACATGAGTATCTATTAGACATGGCTTCAAATCTCTACCAATCAAAACAAAAGGCGTTCCACGGCAGCATTCTCGATCCTTCCACCACGCATGTTACCCAACTCAACAGCTACAAAGCCCAAAATTCAAGTTTTGCCAGTTATAAGAACATACAACAAGAAAATGTATACAGCTATGAGTCTTAATCAGCAAAACTGGCGCAACTGCTGGTACTTACTCCAGAGGAGGCACCCCAGAGACTGAATTATAATCTTAATCAACATTTGACAACAGACTAATTAATAAAACTCCAGAACTTTTAAGCATGAGGTCAGGTGTTTTCTGGTCTCTGAATGAGAGCCTTCTGTTAACAAAAAGCTTAACAATAAATTTCTAGCATTAAAGAACATAAACTGGTAGGCCAGGTGCAGTGGCTCACACCTGTAATCCCAACACTTTAGGAGGCCGAGGCGGGAGGACTGCTTGAGGTTAGGAGTTCAAGCCCAGCACTGGCAAGACCTCGTCTCAAAAAAAAAAAAAAAAAAAAAAAAGTCTCAGCTACTTGGGAGGATCCCTTGATCCCAACATGTTAAGGATACAGTGAGTTGTGATTGCAACACTGCATTCCAGCCCAAGTAAGAGCGAGATCCCATCTCTAAAAAATAAAGAATAAAGATAAAACAAGGACCATAAACTGGCTACAAAACACTTGGAATTACATCTGAATGGCTTCATAATAGTATTGCCATTAATCAAATGCCCACTATCTACCAAGTGATCTACATATTCTACCCCATGTAATAGCCAATTTGACTTGTATAACCCTCTCTGGAAGGCAATTCGGCAACAGTTACTAAAAACCTTTCAAAGACTTTATGTCTTTGATCTGGCAACTGCATATCTAAGAATTTATCCTGAGAAAATAACAGAAATGGAGGCTACAGCCTTAAGTATATGGATGTTCATGCCATGTTACTTATAACTGCTTCCAATTTTCCCCAGTATTATGCTTAATAAAAGGGAGATTGTTAAATAAATTACAATACATCTATATGATGGTATACTATGTACCCTTTAAAATCATCAATTTGGGGCCAGTTGCGGGGGCTCAAGCCTGTAATCCCAGCACTTTGGGAGGACAAGGCAGGCGGATCATCTGAGGTCAGGAGTTTGAGACCAGCCTGGCCAACATAGTGAAACCCCATCTCCAAAGAAAATAAAAAAATCAGTCAGATGTGGTGGAGCACACACCTGTAGTCCCAGCTACTTGGGAGGCTGAGGTGGCAGGATCACTTGAGCCCAGGAGGTTGAGGCTACAGTGACCCGTGATCGTACTACTGCCTAGGTGACAGAGCGAGACCGTCTCAAAACAAAAAAACAGACACACATAAGATAAAACAGTGGTTTACAAACCACAAATCATGCTGTGTGCATTTTCAAGATCATACAATTACTGCTATTATTTGCCTTTCATTTGAGGGTTCTTATACATTGTGCCTACTTTTTCCATGTGCCACCTACAGAGGTAAATTATCAGGATGCTTCAAAAATATGAGGACATTAATTTAAAGTGAAGCTAAGTTCTGACAAGTGTTTGAAGTTCACCCAGGCAAGTCTGCATCAAAGCATCAAACAGAGCCACGACTGGCTTCCAAGCCCACACTATTAAGAGACGGAACATGCCCAGCTTTAATCACACGTACAAGTAGAGATGGCTTCTGTTCTAAATTTGTTATCACTGAATTATAACTACTATAATCAGACTAGAGCTGTTAAAAATTAGCACCTTTTCCAACTGTATGCTTATGCACAATTGACACTCAGGTGAAAGACTGAATTCTAAACCAGTGATCACCAATGTAGGGCAGCCATGCAAGACAATTCTTTAAGGGTGGAGGAAGAAACTGAAAATATTAGAATTTTCATTTCCATTTATTTTAGTTCGTCCTTCCTTAAATTCCATTTTGTGTGTGTACAATGTTACTTCTTATATATAATGTACTATATATGCATATAATGCACATTATGTGTATATTATACATGGTCATATATAATGCATAAAATGTATCAGTTCATGTATATAACGTATTATATACATAACAGGAGCATAATCTGAAACATTTTACTCATAGGGATACATGAAAGTTTGGACACCAGTTGTCTGGACACATAGTGGCAGGAAAAAATAGCCAGGAACATAAAAATATATATATTTCCTTGAAGAAATGGAGTCAGAAATGAGAGGTGAAGGAATGGGAATGGAGAAAGTAAACAAGAGGAGGAGTTAAACAGTCAAGGAAAGGAAGGGAAGATGAGTAATATGAGAGAACCCTGGGACGTAATGGGGGGGGGCACGCAAGTAAGTAAACATGGTATATTTGTGGGTAAAAACTATAATGATGTTTACTTTTACGATTTGATGAAAGGAAATGACTCAAGTGTCTAGGGTGGATCCTGTTCCTGCCTGATGGGCAAGCAAGTGAAAGACAACCGACCACCAGACACCTTAAAATAGATACTGTGTTGTCAGGTTACAATGGAGCCAACAGAACAGACTGGAAAAACAGGAGCTGTTTATGGCTATCTAACACAGGCTTAACACCAGTTGGAGCCCAAGTTTCTATATGCTAATTTGGCTTGGGAAGGAAGTAAATGCCGAAACACTGACGTAATGAACAAGAAATAATTTGGAGTTAGCCTATGTTCAATTACTAAGGTATTCCTAACTTTCCCGACTGGCAGAGGGCAATGCCTGGCTGACCACACAATAAATCGTCTTTTGTGATGGCTGTTAACAAGAAATTTAAGTCAATTAAAGGGGGTGTCAGATATCCCTTTAATTGACTTAAATTTCTTGGTTCAGCCATCACAAAAAGTGCAGGAATGGAAACAATCTCAACCTCTGCCTTTTCTCAGGCCCTAACTAACAACAAAACCAATTTACATTTTAATTTCTTATTTTCCCTACCAGCCGGTGACTACAACGAGGGTAATATAACAGCTCGAGGAAAAAAACAACTGAAAAAGCCACTATCAAAAATTGAAGAGTTGTCCGGACGCGATGGCTCACGCCTATAATTCCAGCATTTTGGGAGGCCAAGGAGGGCGGATCACTTGAGGTCAGGAGTTGGAGATCAGCCTGGCCAACATGGTGAAACCCCGTCTCTACTAAAAAAAAAAAAAAACAACAAAAATTAGCCGGGCGTGGTGGCGCGCGCCTGCAATCCCAGCTACTCAGGAGGCTGAGGCAGGAGAATCGCTTGAACCCGGGAGGCAGGGGTTGCAGTGAGCTAAGACCGCACCACTGCACTCCAGCATGGACGACAGAGCGAGACTCCGTCTCAACAAAAAATAAAAAGAAGGAAAAAAAAATTGAAGAGTTGATTTTCTCTATTTAAGCAGTCCTTTCCCAGTTCTCCACGAGGCATTAACTGACAGGAACTGGTTCCTGAGCTTTTGTGGATTAACTTTTGAAATTCTTTCTGAACAGCTTTATGCCAAGGTTCTAAAGTTCACATTGTGTAAAGGAATCATACTTCTGAACAAAATATTGACACATGTGTTTACCATAACACAGCAAAACAAGCTGTAGTTGGGCAATCGTTTTGTAAACTATTTCATAACTGCAGTAGAAAATCAAGATTTACATGATGGAGCCTTGGGAGACTTCTGTAATTTTCTTAATGTTTAGACTACGTTCTCTAGGCTAAATTTATTAAGTCATGATCTAAGGGTTTTAGTGTAAAGTTTACAGGGTTATTGTCACCGATTCTGTTTGATAAAGACTAGGGGCAGCCCCAAAGCATTTTGAGAATTACTTTGCTTAGTTAAAATATGAGAGGTTGAACTTCTTTCCAGCAAAGCAAGCTGAGTAGGGAAATGAAACCACCAAACAGCAGATATTAGGCCGTTTCCAAGCACATATCCTTTTAAAGCATTGAGCTTTGAACTGACCCAAACTCTGAACTGTGGCCTGAAAGAAAAAGGGCCCTCTGGCTTACTACCAGGGTAGAACCGAAAGAAACAAACAGCTTGAGTTGAACCAACAGGTACTGTTTTTCAAAAGAATTTAACCAGAAACGCATGTAGTGGGTAAAGAGCACTTCCAAAGACCCCAAAACGAGGTAGTGCAAGTCTTAAACTTTTTCTTTCACCGGAAGTGCAAATCTGTGCATTTAAACTGCGTATATTTAAGCAGAAACCCTCTCCAAAAAAAAAAAAAAAAAAAAAAAGAGAGAGAGAAGCAGAGGAACATCTATCTACCACAGTGATCCAAACTGGTATTTCTGGTTTGCAGGACGTATGAACCCTAGCAAACCCAGGGCTGCTTCTGAGGTCCACAACGATATCCTACACTCGGGATCAGAAAAAGGGCCAAAGAGCCAAAGGTGAGGAGGGTTAGCGCTGCTCTACAGTCCACGCGCCCCTCACGCTGCAGTGGGTGCGTCTGCGGTCAGGTTCTCCGCTCCCTCTCCTCGTACCCCACCCCACGCTCGGGGTGTGTGAGGGCAGCTACCGATGCCAGCTCCCCAGCTCCTTCCCGGATGCGGGGGTGACCTGAGAATGGCTATCCCTGCTCACCCCAGCCCCCAATTCTTCACCAGTAGCAAAGGGAGTGCGGCCCCGAGGCGGGGAGGGCTTAGCTCCGGGGCAGGCCCGGCTCGCTGCCCGGCGTACCTGGCTCTCGGCTGCGGGGATGCCAGACTCGAGCTCGCACAGCGCGCGGAAGTTGTGCAGCTCGAAGTCGGCGTCGACCTGGAGGGAAAAGGTCACCTCGGAGAGGTCCCTCCGCACACAGTACACGGTGAGCAGCATGGCCCGGGCCCGACCCGGCTCGGCCCGGCCTGGGCGCGGGGCGCAGGGGAAGAGGTGGCGGCGTGGCCTGGCTGGTGCTGCGGAAGGCCGGCGCGGGCTGCTCGCTCGCTCGCTCGCTCCCTCCCTCACACACGCTCAGTGAGTCACTCCCGCCCGCCCTCACTAGCAAGCACGGCCGCCGCCACCCGCCTGCGAGTCCGTCTGCCTGCCCGCCTGCCTCCCACGGCTGCCGCCAAGCGCGCCGCCCGCCCGGCGCCCCGCCCCGCCGCAACTCGGCTGCCGTAAAGCCCGCCTCGCCTTCCCCGCCTTCGCGACGCAGCGGGGGGCGGGGACTGGAAGGGGAGGAGGAAGCCTGGAGAAGATAGGAGGGGGAGGAGTGGGAAGGGGGCGTGGGAGGGGAGAGGGAGGAAGGGCGAGAAAAGGGGAGGGAAGAAAAGGAACGCGGAGAAGGAAATCTCTGCTGACTGGTTGACTTAATGACTGAGGTCTGTGGAGGAGTCCCCAGTCTTATTTGTTCACCGAACAGGCATTAAGTGCCTACCACGTGTCGGGCGCCGGCGACGCAGAAATGAATAAAAAGATAAATCCTTCTCCGTAACTCTCAATCTAGTACAGGAGTTAGTAATAAAAACGTATTTTTCGTGGTAGAAATTGAGGCTCCGAGAGAGTAATTCACTTCCTGTCTCAGTGATTTAGGATTAAAACCAAAATCATTACCCTCCCTAGTCTATAGAAGCCAGTTGGCTGTGGCCCACGCCTACCTCCCCAGCCCCTTCTCCCGAGCTCTTCCCACATTCTCTGCCCTCCCAACCACATAGCTCAGTTCCTACAAGGCTCCATTCCCCTGTCTTGTAAATAGTTTTCTCTCTACTTGGACTGTCTGTTTCCTAGCCCTAGCAACCCCTACCACCTAGCGCAGTGCCTTTTTGGGCACAGCTTAGAATCTGCTCAATAAATATTTGCTACTTTAATGGCCTGTTTAAGGCACATAGCTGATGAGTGATAGAGACCCAGAACTAACGTGCGGATGAGTAAGAAAACCAAAATTGAAAGATGAATTTGTAATGGATGCCAGATTAGCATCTTTCCATTTACTCCCACTCCCCCGTCCATGTAGGGAGCCCTTTTCCATTTTAACAGGAGAGAAGGAGCAAATAAGATGGCTGTGGGTGCAGGTAAGTAGGTAGTAAGTAGGCTGTTGGTGCAGGAAAGGGAGAATTAGCAGCCGAAGGCTTTTACGAAGAGAAAGTAGAGGAACAGGGTAGTGAGAATGCTTATATCGCCTACGAGCAACGGAAAGCTTGACTATCAGTGGCTTAAACAAACAAGGGTTTATTTTCTCACAGGAGAGAAGGCCTGGAGGTAGCAACAGCATTGGTTGAGTGGCTCACTGAAATTAGGGTCAATACCTCTGTAATTGTTTTGACTGTTTCCTGAGGGTTGCAATATATGGCTGGCTGCCTCCACGCCATGCATCATTTTCCTATTCAAGGAAAAAGGTTGCCCAGAAGTCCCTGTGCACATTTTTGCTTACATCTCACTGGACAGAATTGTGTCACATAGATGCGTAGAGGCTAGGAAAGCAAGTATTTAGCTTTGCCTAAAGGACATAAATAGGGAAAAGGGAGGCTGGGAATGGGTATTAGGAAAGACATACACAGTGCCTTCTACAGTGAATGTTTGAAATAACCATTGCAAATTGAAGTAAGTTTAGCCAAGAAATGTTCTAGGATTGTCCAGTGGGGGTATCAAGGAATCAGATGAGGCTGGACTCATTGGTTAATTGTTATATTTGGTCTAGTGGTGCTCAGGTTCCCAGGTCTGGCAGATTTTGTTCTCCAAAGATGATCATGACAGTGTCTCCCATCCTATATGCTCTTCCTACAATGTGATTGTGACAACCCTCCCATTAAGAAGTGGGGTGTATGTCCCTCCCTTCGAATCATGGCTCCACAGACTAACTCTGGCATAAGTGACATTATGTGATTTCCTTTTTTTTCCCAAGGCAGAGTCTTGGTCTGTCACCCAGGCTGGAGTGCAGTGGCACGATCATGGCTCACTGCAGCTTCAACCTCCAGGGCTCGAGGCTCAAGCGATCCCTCCAGCTCAACCTCCCTAGCAGCTGGAACTACAGGTGTGCACCACCACACACAGCTAATTTCTTTTTAGTAGAGATGAGGTCTTGCTATGTTGCCCAGGCTTGATTTCCTTTTTATTATAATTTTAGATTATTTTTAATTTAAAAAAAATAGTGATGAGGCCTTGCTATGTTGACCAGGCTAATCTCCAAATCCTGGCCTCAAGTGATCCTCCCACCTTGGCCTTCCAAACTGCTAGGATTACAGATGTGAGCCATCGCACCCAGCCACTTTGTGTGATTTCTAAGGCTAGGTCTTACCTGTGTCCACCTGGGGTCAGCGGTTCTCACCCAGCATCCAGAAATATATGCCAGACACCAATGGAGGGGACAGAGCAATGGTGGACAGGCTCAAGGTGGGGCTGCTGCTTCTGGCACTGCTCCTACTCATGCAGATTTATTCAAATCAAACTATTGTAACGCTTTCAAGTAACTCCTCCCAGGGTACCTTGTCTGCCCCAAGCCCAGCTAATGCCACCACCAAGGCAGTTGGCAGTGCCCTGCAGTCAATTGCCAGTCTCCTCATGGTCTTGCTTTCTCTTCTATATTTCTACTGTTAAGAAACATCTGCCGGGCGCGGTGGCTCACACCTGTAATCCCAGCACTTTGGGAGGCCAAGGCGGGCGGAGATCAAGACCATCCTGGCTAACATGGTGAAACCCCGTCTCCACTAAAAATAAAAAAAAAACTTTAGCCGGGCATGGTGGCGGGCGCCTGTAGTCCCAGCTACTCGGGAGGCTGAGGCAGGAGAATCACTTGAACCTGGGAGGTGGAGGTTGCAGTGAGCTGAGATTGCTCCACTGCACTCCAGCCTGGGTAACAAGAGCAAAACTCTGTGAAAGAAAAGAGGAGGGGAGGGGAGGGGAAAGAGAAAAGAGAAAGAAAGAGTTGAGAACCTCAAATTTAATTGGTTTGAAGAACACATGAAGGGTTTGACTAGATGATGGATGCCAATATTAAATCTGCTTAAATGTCATGTACAAGATGAAGAGAGGCAACATCCAAAATTGAAGACATTATTTCCTTGAATATGGCTTAAGAAATGTGGACACCATGGAATACTATGCAGCCATAAAAAAGGATGAGTTTGTGTCCTTTGTAGGGACATGGATGCAGCTGGAAACCATCATTCTTAGCAAACTATCACAAGAACAGAAAACCAAACACCGCATGTTCTCACTCATAGGTGGGAACTGAACAATGAGATCACTTGGACTTGGGAAGGGGGACATCACACACCGGGGCCTATCATGGGGAGGGGGGAGGGGGGAGGGATTGCATTGGGAGTTATACTTGATGTAAATGATGAGTTGTTGGGTGCTGACGAGTTGATGGGTGCAGCACAGCAACATGGCACAAGTATACATATGTAACAAACCTGCACGTTATGCACATGTACCCTAGAACTTAAAGTATAATAATAATAATAAAATAAAATAAAATAAATAGAAATAGGGGTCTTTCTATGTTCCCAAGCTGTTCTTGAATTTCTAGGCTCAAGCAATCCTCTTACCTCATCTCCTAACGTGCTGGGATTACAGACATGAGCCATCATGCCCTGTTTGAAACACATTTTGTTATGTCAGTATTTTTAGATAGGTAGAACCTAGTCCTAAACTGTAAGGTAGGCTTGATTCTATAATAAAATTTTTTACAACTGTCTCGACACACAGAAACCTTTTTAAAAATAGACACTCCCTGAAGTCTTTTGTTCACAAGGTCACACACTGATGCTTAGGTGTTCCAGTATCTAATATGGCCACAGTAGTCTTGAAACATCTTTAGAAACCTACACGGGAACAGCTAGGTGCGGTGGCTCACGCCTGTAATCCCAGCATCTTTGGGAGGCCGAGGCAGGTGGATCATGAGGTCAGGAGATCGAGACCATCCTGGCTAACACGGTGAAACCCCATCTCTACTAAAAATACAAAAAATTAGCTGGGCTTAGTGGTGGGCGCCCGTAGTCCCAGCTACTCAGGAGGCTGAGGCAGGAGAATGGTGTGAACCCGGGAGGCGGAGCTTGCAGTAAGCCAAGACTGCGCCACTGTACTCCAGCCTGGGCGAGAGTGAGACTCTGTCTCAAAAACAAGAACAAAAACAAACAAACAAAAATCCTACACAGGAAGAAGAGAACAGCAGATGGAACAGACCTGAAGCCACTGTGTGTGTGAACGAACACTCCTTTTTGCTTCATGCCGAAATGCTGTACATTTATTTTGGATTGTATATTTGTGTGTTTATGCTTTGATTCATAGTAACTTGTTATGAAATTGATTTGTATTGAATACAAACTGCAAATAAAAATAAATCAGGTCGGGCGTGGTGGCTCACGCCTGTAATCACAAGCACTTTGGTGGATGACCCGAGGTCAGGAGTTCAAGACCAGCCTGGCCAACATGGCGAGACACTATCTCTACTAAAAATACAAAAATTAGCTGGGTGTGGTGGCGGGTGCCTGTAATCCCAGCTACCTGGCAGGCTGAGGCAGAAGAATCGCTTGAACCAGGGAGGCGGAGGTTGCGGTGAGCTGAGATCGTGCCATTGCACTCCAGCCTGGGCAACAAGAGCGAACCTCCGTCTCAAAATAAATAAATAAATAAAATAAATCAATGGTTGGAAAAAAAGTCAATACAGTTTCTGTGGGATTCTCCTGGAACGCTTGCTCTTGGAACCCAGCAGCCATGCTGGGAGGAAGCCCAAACTACACCACACGGTGAGACCACATGGAGAAAATATGTGTGGTTGTTCCAGAAAGCTGCTCGGCTGAGGGGAAAGCTGATGAGTGGGAAAACCCACCTAACTTTCAGATGACTTCAATCCCCAGATGTTGAATCATCTCCAACTTATGAGTCTATCCAGATGAGGCTTCAGACATCACGGAGCCATCTCCACTGTACTCCCTTTGAATTTCTGACCTACAGAAATCTACAAGCATAATAAAATAAAAATACAAAGTAAAACCAAAATGAGATACCACTTTATGCTCACTAGGATGGCTATAATAAAAAAAACAGGGTTGGGCGTGGTGACTCATACCTGTAATCCCAGAACTTTGGCAGGCCAAGCTGGGCAAATCACTTGAAGCCAGGAGTTCGAAAGCA